ACACATACCTTAAAAGTCTTTGCACAATGAAGTTTGAATTTTTGTATGCGATTTTTTTTTTTAATATTCTTATGCGAAAAAGTTGTAACAAACCTTGCACACTCTGTATTACTCCGACTTTTTGTATGTAGCTTTTTGCTTGTATGGTGGGTATGAAATAGGGATGCACCGATCCCGATACTTAGATCAGATATCAGTTCAATATCGCATATTTTTGCTGGATCGGGTATTAGCCAGCTGGCACTGATTCAAATCCGATCTTGCGCGTGCACTATATTCTGTGTAATTTATAAGCCATTAAAAGCCACGAAGGTAGCCTATTACAAGGCACTGCAAATGTATCATGTTGGCCTCCATTATTCTTATAAAGAGCTAATGTTCTCCATTCCTTCCGACTGAGTTTATTCGTTTGAGGTGAATACAATATATGCTGCTAATAGTTAGTAAAGCCTGGCTCATTGTGATCAAGGTAGTTGATTAAATTAATAAAAGTGAAGCAAACGGCCAGGCACATATAAATTGTCATTAACAGAAAATGATTTATCCTAATATAGGCTTCTCTGAAACTGTGAATATTTCACTGTCATTTTATTTATATTAATATTTTATTTAACAAGTTTGTCAGTTTGTACACGGACCTTGTTTTGAACTTCACCTCAAATATTCTTGTTTATTTTGTGAATAACTGACCAACAAAACTACACTGAAATAATCAACTAATTATACCAAATGAAATTCGTTTCAAATGATAATTTTTCAGACAAAAAAAATTATTGTTCAGACATGCTTTCAGTTTCTCCATCGCACTCACGTCAAATTTAGGTGAGGGAATGTTTATTAAGTAAAACTGGCCTCAGACAGTTTAGTCTGCTTCAAACCTGCAGGAAAATATCAGGCTTTGCTAAAAGGCAGGTTATTTAACCAACGATTAGGGTCAATGGTGGTAGCCTAGAACAGAGTTCAAAGAAAAATCCTAATCAAAAAAGGAAACATAAGCTGGACCCCAACTGATCAGATCTATGTCATAATGAATGCTCAAATAATGTAGCCTATAGTATATAGCAAGCATCATGTTTTTAGTTAGATTTTGTTGTCTGTCATATAATGTGCCTACACACTAGGTGTGTTATTTTCACTAAAGAAGATATATTATTTTGTGAAACTGAATCGGGATCAGATTTTTAAAAATGGTATCGGTGCATCACTACTATGAACTGTCTAAACCCCTCTGAAAGCATTTTTTCGGATGCAAAAATTTGAAGAAATCGAACCTGGTTTGAATTTTTTTTATGACAGACAAAAGTTTCAGTGGCAAGTGTGTCAGTACGATTTACACAACGTAAGGTCGAATTTATGTATTACGTATGAAAATTACAGACAACAATTTCAGATTCAGTGTGCAATAAAATGATTAGCTACTAAGTTAAAAGTAATTTCACTATAATATTATGAACTAAAAATCCACCACTTCCATACAGCTGTCAGATCCCTGTAAATGCTGCTCTCCGAACCACTGCCTACCTCCCCTGTGCATATTGTGTTGCTGCTGTGAAAATCAGTTGTAGTGCATGCATTGAAACTCCCCTTTTCAAGTAGCAAAACTACAAAAACGTGATTCCCTATCTGTGAAAAGCTACATCCAGCACTTTAACACAAACACAACTGAGTGATGAAGTACTAGCACCAGCTAAGCCCTAATGAATACCATCCATTCTACTTTGCAATGTTGAGCAACCTTGTCTACATACGCCACAGGCGCAGAAACAAAGTCAGGCTGGATCTTTAAAGGAGGTTCAAGTCAAACTAAGAGAAAAAAACCTGCCAGCCTTGCAGCACAACACCATGGAATGTTTTTTTAATTTGAGGCATCCTGCTGTGGCAATGAGAAACAGAAGCAGACTTTACAATCACTTCCATATATGTACATGTCATTTGCATTCAGTGTTTGCAGTGTGTATATTTTATAACTGTGTACATAAGATAATATGGAAAGATGGATTGTTGTGGCTTAGCAATTACCACACATGCTCTGCTGCTTAAGTGGACGATGTATTTTCTAAACCTTTGAATGTTTCCGCAGGCTGAAAACGTGCTGTCAGTTATTAAGTAACTTACTGACATCTAGTGGTGACTGTCGACAAATGAGTATTTACAAAGCATATACTGTAGCAGGATTCACAAAAACATCATTTAGAACATTTAAAAAATATATAAAAAGACTGCAAAATATGTTTACTTCCATAAGAGGGGATATTAATTATGAGGCTGTATAATTAAAGTTATCAAAATTATTTTAAAATAAAGATTTTGAAGTCATGTGATCTATTTATCTTCTTGCATTCATAATATACACTCACCAGCCACTTTAATAGGTACATCAGATTGTTAAGAAAGGAATGGTGTATTTTATATTTTATTACAATATATATTATACCTCGGCTGGGTAAAGTTGGCTTTTCTGTGTAGAGTTTGCATGTTCTCGCCGTGATCGCGTGGGTTTCCTCCGGGTGCTCTGGTTTCCCCCACTTATCTAAACAAATGTCCATAGGGTATGTGTGTGAACGAGTGTGTATGGATGTTTCCCAGTGATGGGTTGCAGCTGGAAGGACATCCGCTGCGTTAAAACTTATGCTGGAATAGTTAGCGATTTCATTCCACTGTGTTGATCCCAGATTAATAAAGGGACTAAGCCAAAAAAAAATTTATGAATAAATGAATGAATATTTATTATATATATCATTATTATTAAAATATATTTATTATATATTATTAGTGTATTATGTTGTATTAGTGGTCTTTAAATAGTTAAGATTTAAACATTTTCCGTATTTGTTTCCCTAACTGTTCACTTTATATGCATTACAGAGACTAATTCTCATTTAAATAAAAAAAAAGAAAAGAAAATCTTTTTCTTTCCCAAGATGGGTAAATTTGTGTATAGCAAAAAAAAAAAACAACAACAATAAACACTAGAAATATTGCCACAAATTTTGAAAATGTTTGTGGAAAAATAAAACATTTCAGGTAGTAATATAATCAAAATGTTTCACTAAAATGAATTATAAGGTTGTATAATAAAAGTGCTTCTAAAATAGAAATTTGCAGTCATGTGATGGATATTTCAGGGTGATTTCAGGAACTGAGGAACCTCTTCTTAAAATCATAATATATAATCTGGAGAAACGCATTTGCACACTCACTAGACATCAAAACTACACATGCATTTTTTTCTATTAATGTGTCATTTAATAAATTAATTGATTAATAAAGCAGTATTTTTAAAAAAATTTTATTTATTTATTTTTTGTGGAAAGACATTCTATTACAGTGCTTTAATCTGTGTAAAAACTAAGGGCTTACAACAAATACAGGGCCAGATTTACTAACAGCACCAAAAACACCCACAGACAGTGTTTTATATTCGTGTAACAGATCCCAAATCTCACGGTTTGGATCACGTTATGATTCTTTCCGATCAGCCATTTATTACAAAAATAGTACCGCTAAACATTTTTGGTTTTAACAAACAGAACTTAGAACCTGTAATTTTATTAAAAATAAAGTGTAAAAATAATTAGCTGAAAAAATGGTAAAATAATCAGTGAAACTAAAAAATTCACTGTTACCACTACTGTTGCTAATATGTTGCTAAATGTAGAAATCTAACATTATAATTTGTACAACCCATATTTATTTTTAGTTTCATTTTCAATAAATGATTCAGTTGTTCACTCATAAAACTTTATGTTTTATTGCTAGATTAATATTTTTTGTAGAATTATACAGTGGCATTTTTTGGATGGCTGGTTGTTCACCTATCGGTTAAACAGTGTAATTGCTGCCTACAACTTTCATTTTTGAGTGTCATTAAATGCATATGACTGTGATTTTAATCTTTACCATAAACATCAGTCGATATGTCTAAATTAAACTGTTATCCCAGTACTTCTGTGTTATTTGACTGTTTGTACCTTCATAACTAACTCAAAACACTAAAGACTGAATCTCTTACTTGATTTTTGAGTTTTTTAAACACAGATTTGAATGCAGCTATTTAAAGGATTAATAAACATGCAAATCACCATCATTCATAATTTTTGTTGCAATATTGTTGAGATCCTGATCTTTTAAATGATTAATCATGCAGCTTACACTGAATGCATTAATGCAGACTAAACAAGCAGGGACAGAAAACACCTTTAATAACCTAAGAAACCCTCCACATCCACAATAACCTACCGTGACTTCTTACGTCATCATTATATTTTACAGGAAAGCTTAAATTCTTTTATACATGTGATTTGAATGACATGAGAGACAGTCTCCCTGTGATCATTACAAATTTAGAATTAATCTACAAATTAAAAAAAAAATGTATTAATCCCCGGGTCACAAGTGTTCAAAAATGTGGGTTGGGATTTGTACGAATCATTGATAAATCGTGATCCTTTACAACACAAGTATTTTAACAGGTTGACAGCATTGTACTAACAAATGGAAAATAAATAAATTAACAGTGGAAAAAACATAGGCAAAGACTTAAAACCATGATGGGTAAGAGCCGATGGAGGATATACCCCTGCTCTCTACTATAAGTGCCATGGGATTTTTAAGGACCACAGAGAGTCAGGACCTCGGTTTAACATCTTATCTGAATGCTTACTGACAGTATAGTGTCCCCTTCACTATAATGGGGCATTAGGACTCCACACTCAACACTACTCTCTTATGAAACTATTCCAGCAGCTACCTAGTTTTCCCATGTGGTCTCCCATGCAGGTACTAACCAGAATTAGCTGAGCATAGCTTCAGCTAATGCCTATGTGTTTGTCTGATGCATTTAACAATGTATTGTCATTCCCTACATAACTAAGTTTGTTAACTCTTGTTTACAGTATTATTTTTCCAGTGTGCCTTTTAAATAGAAAAATGCTAAATAACATACATGGGGGAAGGACACAAAAAGATCTTCACAGGACCTACACAACACGAACATTTACCTGGAGAGAGCGATGTTGCGTAATAACCTCTCGGTGGTCTCTGACAGATCTGAAGGTACCAGGATCTCTACAGGTTGTATTCTCAGTATTCTGGATTCCAGCTCTGAATGGCTCATATTATCTTTAAAACAATCCACCATCACATCCCCAATGCTTGGCTGGACCACCTGAGCTCAAAATAGAAAGCAGGGCTGCAGTATATGTATAGTAGGGTGAGATTTAATTCAGTCACTACAATGATTACTTACCACCATTCCTACGGTCAGCTCCTTGCTCTGTTTGTCAAAACTCTCGCTCACACACATTAGATAGTTGTTTCCACTGTCCTGCACCACATCTTCAGCTTGCTCCAAATCTCCCAGCTTTAGCAGAGGATTCACATCTGAGAACAAGACAATGGATTGGATCATTATGGGTTCTTTAACTGATAACTGACTAGTTTTAATTTTCTTTATTATTTATTTCAGTTAAGCTTAACTTTACACATTTAATAATAATATAGATAATAATTATATGTTAACATTTGGCATTATACCACAGTCCTTATGTTTAAAGAGGCCATATTATGAGTGTTTGAAAATGACCTTCCAAGTAGGGTGTAACAGCTTGGAGGAAAGTGAAATATCCAGCTATGGCTTAAATCTGTAAGTGTAGTGTTTAAAACTGTTGATTCATCTATAAAAGAGTCGACTCATAGTGTTTCAAACGAGTTGCCTAGATAAAGAGTCATTAGGTGTTTCGCTGTGTTGTGGCTGCAAAACACAAGCCCCGCCTAGTAGTAACCGGGAGATTTAAAACCTTAAACCTTAACCCTGCCCACTAACATAGAAAAAAAGGCTAGACACACACTGTAATTTATCAGAGGCCGATTGAATAAAGTCACGCTGTGCTCAGATGGATATTATTGAAAGTCTCTCTACCCAAAGATGAAACTGTAAAGAGAGTCAGTGGTTGAGGTTTTTTTTGCAAAAATACCTCATTGCAGTGCTTCTGGGAACTACATGCTTGCACACAAGAACTCATCGGCGGTTTGTTAAAGGAAGGATCAGAAAAGACTACTGATGTAAGGGACTATGTCAGAACATGGATCAGTGCACATGGATCAGTCTCTTCCTCAATTTCACCAGTGTAAGTACGTGCGATTAAAACTGTTGCCTCGTTTACTTTAGCTTTCAAAGTATGTATTTAATTGTGTTTGGTTACTGGGTAGGATAAACTTTTTATTCGATAAGAAAAGATGTGCATAAACTGCGATGGAAACACTTTTACCGCACAAACTCCAGCATGCGCATTAAAAAAGGTCATGTGATTTTGTTAAAAGAGATCATGTGATGCTTAAAATGTGTGTGAATGGACAAAAGGTCAGGCTGAGCACATTATAATACATCTGAAATGTTATTTTGGTCATTATAAAACACCTTACCATTTCAGTATTAATGTTATTATATTATTAATGACCTCCAGAATCAAGAGCGACTGTGCTCCACATCTGACACCTTCAAACGCCACTGCGCGCTCACTGCTTGTCAGGATTGACTTCTGAGGCGCATTCATTTAAAAAAGATTGATGCAGCTTCTCCTACTGCAGCAAATGCAGTTTTTACTGTTGATATTTGGCGCCAGTTAATCAGGAAGTGACGATTTTGTTCGCTTTGACTCGTTGGATGGAAACGCTGCTTCATTCGCACAACTTTTATGCGATAATCCAGTTTTGCGCATAAAGTTTATTCGCATTTTTGGATGGAAACATAGCTATTATTTCATGTATAATAGGGGCTCTTTAAAACAAGAAAAATGTGATTGCCTTTGGCTAATATTGCTCACATGGAAGGACTCCAAGTTTTAAGCAATGTCTTATGGAACTATTATACCACTTGACCTTGTCAAAATACAATTTACTGTAAGAGGTTTTATTGATATTTTTTATCTTACTGGGCAACCTGTTTTAGATCTTTTACTTAGTACTACTGTAATATTATTATTTGTTTGTAATTTATGTTAATATTAAACATATATTCTTATAGAACCAACTCTAAATGTATACATGTGTGTAATGAGTTTTGTCTGCTTGTAAAAAAATATAAAACACTTTTTTAAAGAAAAATTAATTTGTTCATTCATTCGGCTTAGTCCTTTATTTATCAGGGATACCCACAGCGGAATGAACAACCAACTATTCTGGCATTTGTTTTACACAGCAGATGCCTTTCCAGCTGCTACCCAGTACTGGGAAACACCTATACACACTCATTCTCTCTCACACAAACACACACTCATACACTACTGCCAATTTTTGTTTACCCAATTTGCATATACTGTATGTCTTTGGAATGTGGGGGGAAGTTGAGCACAAGGAGGAAACCCACGCCAACACGAGTAGAACATGCAAACTCTACATAGAAATGTCACCAAATCAGAGACAGTGCTAACCACTGAGCCACCGTGCCGCCAAACCTAGCTTTACAATTAGCAAAAATGCATTCAATTGACAAAAAGTGGCAGTGAAGAGATTTGATTTCCAAAGCTGTTCTTTTACTTTCTATTTGTCAAAAAAATCTGAATAAAATGCCATTACATTTCCACAGTTTAAGCAAACAGTTTTGTGCTATTTTTTCTAACTTTGGATAATATATACAGTATACAACATATTTATATGCAAGTATAACTACATTACTTTCATCATAAAATAAAGATCTATTATTAAGTAATGTTAGTTAATTTATTTACCGACATGAACTAAGATGAATAAATTCTTGCAGAGCATTTATAAATTGTGTTTATTATATTAATTTCAACATTTACTAATGCATTATAAACATCCAAAGTGCTTTTTGACATTGAATTTCTATTTTTCATTAACTTTACATGATTAACAAACATGAATAAATACAGCAACAAATAAGTTGTTCATTGTGTGTTCATGTCAGTAAACACAAAAAGACTGATAATAATAAAAACATTTTTGCACAAAATTTAAATCCGAGAATGCACTTTAGAAAGAACTGTATTTTTATAAAATAAATACAGCATTAGTAAATAAAAGAAACACATATCAAAACATAAAATAAAATAACATTAAATCTTGCCATATGAATTTATTGTAACTAGATGACATGTAATTCCAAGGATCAACTCTCAGATTAAAAATATCATAGTTATACAAGTTATATAATAACACTACCTGATAGAAGTCCGTTCCTGAAGTTTTAGAAACAACAAATAATAACTTCTAGTTTATGACTCCTATGAGCTTGGACGATTGCATCCATACATCTTTGAATGACTTAAATTACTTATTAATAAAGTCATCTGGAATGGCAAAGAAATCGCTCTTGCAGGACTCCCAGAGTTCATCATCATTCTTTGGATTCATCTTCAATGCCTCCTCCTCCATCTTACCCCAGACATCATACAGCTCAATAATGTTCATGTCTGGTGACTGGGCTGGCCAATCCTAGAGCACCTTGACCTTCTTTGCTTTCAGGAACTTTGATGTGGAGGCTGTAGTGCGAGAAGGAGTGCTAACCTGCTGAAGAATTTGCCCTCTCCTGTTGTTTGTAATGTAATGGGCAGCACAAATGTCTTGATACCTCAGGCTGTTGATGCTGCCATTCACTCTGCAGATCTCTTGCACCATCCCATATTAAATCTAACCCCAAACCATGATTTTTCCTTCACCAAACTTGACTGATTTCTGTGAGAATCGTGGGTCCATGCGGGTTCCAATAGGTCTTCTGCAGTATTTGTGATGATTGGGATGCAGCTCAACAGATGATTCATCAGAAAAATCTACTTTCTGCCACTTTTCCAAATGATCAACTAGAAGTGAAGTTATTATTTGTTGCTCGTTTAACTGGGATCGACGACAAGACTTTTGTGAGGCAGTGTATATAATAAATATAAGTAATTCCAAAACATCTCTGAGGTTATTAAAACTAAGTTTAGTGAAGAAACTGTGTTTGATTTAGAGACATGAAAAACTGTTCAATTCCAATTCAAAATGCCTACATAAAAATGTAAACATACATTTTAAAACATATTACTGCTGCTAGTCTAGTAAAAAAAATATAAAAAAAAACAGGAAAGAAAGTCAACTAGAAATCTTGTGAGTAAGAAACAATACCTTCTCCCACAAGTGTGGACTTTGTGTAAAGCGCATGTAGCTGGCGTGAAAAGAGTGAACTTTTGTTAGCGCTGGACGCTTTGATGGCTGTAGTTTCGGTCTGCTTCACTACACCAACCTAAGAAACCATGAAGCATGATAACAGTGTTACTGACCAGTGTACCAAAAAAATCTCATTGTGACTACTTATGCATATCGCATTTAAGCATTATAAGCAAATCGTAATGAAGAGAACATCACTGACCTTGTAGCCCTGAGAAACTAGTCGACGAACATGCACAAACAGTCGATGAGTAGGGATGCTGGCTGTCATGAAGTTATGGTCCAGATGACAAGTGATATTGAGTTCCTTTGCAGCAATCTATTACAGAAACGGATATCCAAATGATAAATAGATACATATCTATATTTTGCTTTAAGTCTTCAGACAACAAGTAAACAATAAAAGGATCATCACTTCAACCAAACATTACAATTTACAAAGCAATTACTCACCCACCACCTATATGAGATTTATTTTTTTCTGTTGAATACAAAAGAAGATATTTTGAAGAATGTTACAAACTGGTAGCTATTGACATCCATTGTAGAGAAAGCCTGTGGTTACCAGTTACATTCTTCCGAAAATCTACTTTTGTGTTCAGCAGAAGAAAAAAAAATGTACAGGATTGCACAACACGATCCCACTGCAATCCATAACTTTTTGATTTAGTGGCTAATTCGTATGAATATGTATGATCATATTCGCACAATTAAGTATAAATTTGCGCATCCCCCAATGACAGTTGGGTTTAGGGGTTTGGTGCCATGACTTCTGTTTAAAATCAATACATTTTTGTACGACTGTACTCTACGTTGAATCATGTATGAATTCGTACATATTAAATACATGTGGTACAGGTAAGCTAAATTGTCCGTAGTGTGTGAGTGTGAATAAGTGTGTGTGGATGTTTCTCAGTGATGGGTTATGGCTGGAAGGGCATCCGCTGCATAAAAACGTGCTGGATAAGTTGGCGGTTCATTCGGTTGTGGCGACCACAGATTAATAAAGGGACTAAGCCGAAAAGAAAATGAATAAATTAATGATTTCAAAAATTAAAGTTCTGCATCAAACTTATAAGCTTTATGTTAAGTGACTACATCTTTTTGTTTTATTTGGAATAAACTCATTCATATAGACAGATTCATTTGGATTACTTTTACAATGCCTTATTAGCATTTTGTAGCTCATAAATATAGGTGGAAAGTACTTTAATTGAACATGTATCCTCTCCGGATTCATTACACGAATCTTAACTTGAGCTCCTAAAAGCATTTTGATAGTGTTTTGAAAGCACTTTAAAGAGCGTGAAGAGCAATGATAACAGTTAAATAAATAATAGGGGCTCATCCATTTTTTTCCAATCAATTCTTTGGTGAAGCTAATTTGCATAGTTATTTAGCTGTATTACAGCTTCATACTTGTGTAAACGGGAAAAGCTTTTCAAAAAGATAAAACCTATTTTCTGGCACAATTTTACTAATCAATACTTTAAAGGGCACCTAAGTTAACCTTTTTTTTCAGATTTAATGTAAGTGTTTTGCATCTCCAGAATGTGTCTGTAACGTTTCAGCTCAAAACACCCATCAAATTTTTCATTAAACCTTTTACAAGATTCTATTTTATACATTTTTCCACCAGGGGGCTGTTTTGTCATACTGCGCCTACAAGGCAAGGCAAGGCAAGTTTATTTATATAGCACATATCATACACAGTGGCAATTCAAAGTGCTTTACATAAACAAGAATAAAAGAAACAAGTAAAATAAAAATAAAAACAAATAATAAAAAGGAGTAAAAAAAAAACATAAAAACAGATAAAAAGTGATATAAAAGAATGAAGAAGTGAAAAAGCATAATAGTGCAATCTGTCGGACACAGCACAGTGCTCATTCAGTAAAGGCACAGCTAAACAGATGTGTTTTCAGTCTTGATTTGAATGTGCCAAATGTTGGAGCACATCTGATCATTTCTGGAAGCTGATTCCAGCAGGGGAGGCATAGTGGCTGAAAGCTGATTCATTCTTTAAAGTCTATTCTGCATGTAACTGGCAGCCAGTGTAAAGACCTGAGGACAGGTGTGATGTGCTCTGATTTTCTGGTTCTGGTCAGAATTCTGGCAGCAGCATTCTGGATGAGCTGCAACTGGTAACCATTGACATCCATATTAGGAAAAGCCTATACTATGAACGTCAATGCTTACCGGGTGTCTGCAAATCTCCAAAATATCTAATTTGGTGTTCAATAGAACAAAAAAGCTCAAACGGTTTGGAAGTCAAGCGTGAGTACACGAGAAGAGATTTTGTACCCTGGGATTAACTATCCCTTTAAAAGAGTTGTTGTATGAGAAGCCTGTCCACCATAATTTGACAGCTGATTCTAATGGAAACTGTTTGAAGACTTAATTCCTGTCTCTAGCAATGACAGAGATTTAAATTCAAATCCGCTGATTGAGCCTCATCGTTAAGAATTAGACTAGATTAAGCACGCTTAAGAACTCAGCTTTTTCAATTGAGATGTGTTGAAAAGAGCCGGATTCTGATTTTAAGCTTAGAAAGCTGGATCCTGAAGCTCAGCAACCTCAATGAATAGGCAAGTTCCAGCCGTATCCTCCCTCCTCCAGTGCTGCTAGCTCAGCAGCTGATTGTGATGTCGGCAAGTAGCCTTCGTAAGTTTGGTCCCTCCCTTCAAAGGAGGTGAAGTGGATTTGTATTTTATTGTAATTGAGCTTATTGATGGATTTGTGAGCTCATTTGCTACAATGGAATATTGCTTGCAAAGCTCAATATGCATGTGCAGCACTGTCAGTTGAAAGTTCATCCAGCCACCGCGGCCTAGACTGCGGGTCTGCACAGGAAGTTTGGCCAGAGGAGAAATGGTTGTGCCCAACTAACCCTGATTTCATTTAAGGTTATTTTCTTTCACTCATGTCAATTGGTGAAGTTTTATCCTTGTTGACTTGTGGAGCTGCAAGTCGATGGATTTGCTCTTCAGTGGACTTACAGCAGTGAAATTAAACCCACACTGAACTGCACTAAACTGAACTTCAACTCTGAAAACTGGACTGACACTGTTTCAATTTACTAGAACTTCTATGTTAAGCTGCTTTGACACAATCTATATTGTAAAAGTGCTATAAAAATAAAGATCAATTGAATTGAATAGTTACTGTTACTTGGTTAAATCTACATGCATACAGACAATCTAGTCCCTAAAGCCTATAGGCAAAAGTGTAGACAGTGCTCGAAGACGCACAACTTTTTTTTTTTTTTTTTTTTTTTTTTTTAACAGAGTTTGCAAGTGAAAATCATGAGCCGTTAGAGTAATGGTGCTTTGCAAGCAAAATTACAACTCTTGAGGAACTTCAAGAACTTTTGCTGCTAGAGGATTTCAAGATTTGCATTCCCGAAGGTGTCATGGTCCATTTAAATGAACAAAAAGAGAGTAAGATTGCTGAGGTGGCAGTTTTGGCATACAAGTATGTGCTTACACACAGAACTGTCTTTTTAACACTTTAAAAAAAGAGAAACTACTGTGTCTTTCATTTAAAGTACATTTTTATATTAGATTAAGTGAAAAATGATGGTTTCTGGTTTTAAACTTTTATTTATTTTGACTGAAAGCAAAGAAGCTAACTCCCTAGGTACAGTTAAAAACATTAGTCTTTCTCAGAGTAATAATTTTACTTCAAACCAGGCACATGAAAAAAGGTACTATTCATGTGCTACTCAATTTTTTGTGTATTTCTAATGCTTGTTTGATTACAGTATAGTTTAAAAGCTTAATAAAGTTTTTTTTTAAGTCTGTTTCTGTGAATTTAACTGCATTACAGAGAGAGTGGTAAAGGAAACATGACTGTTTTTCTTGAGAGGAATGATGACGTGATGTTGTGTGTTCTTGTATTTTGAAACTGTTTTACTGAATAGGTGTGTTGACTTGGCCAGGTCTCTGAAACTTCCTGGTTAAATAACAGAAAATAAAATACAAAATACAAATTACCATCTTGTGTGACCTTTACAGAAATACCAAAAACACAAGCAGATAGTTTAGCTCATAATTCATTCATTTTCTTTTCGGCTTAGTACCTTTTTTTAATCAGGGGTCGCGACAGCAGAATGAACCGCCATCTTATCGAGCATATGTTTTATGCATCTGTGGGGAAAAACGGAGCACCCGGAGAAAACCCATGCGAGCACGGGGAGAACATGCAAACTCCACACAGAAATTCCAACTGACCTAGCCGGGGCTCAAACCATTTATTATAGTCAAACCAACTATTATAGTTTAGTCTAAAGCACAAATTTGCTTTAAAGTCAAATCAAAGTAATTCAATTAATTCATGGTCTATACAACAATTTTTACCTTCGAGTCAATGTATTTTTATTTTTTCCTGAGCAGAATTATTAAGTTGATTAATCTTAAAACTAGGGGTGTAACAGATCACAGGTGATCCGTTACTCATACGGATGACAACCCACTATTCGGAACACACATGACCAGCGGATTAAATTATTTTTTTACTCATATAATAATCACAAGTTTGTAACGATTACAGAGATTGCCTCTCGTTTTTAAAGGTGTTTTGTGTCATTACTTGTTTAGCCTGCATTAATGCATTCAGTGTAAGCTGCATGATTAATCATTAAAAGATCAGGATCTCACAAACATTGCAAAATAAATTATAAATGTTTTGCAAATGTTTATTAATACTTCAAATCGCTGCATGTGATGTGAAAAACGCAAAGATCAAGAAAGAGATTCAGGGTTTAGTCTTTTGAGTTGGTACAGTCAAATAACATAGAAGTACAGGAAAAACTTTAGGGTTTTATTTATAATAAAATTACAGATTCTAAGTTCTGTTTGTTGAAACCAAAAGTGTCTTGCAGTGCTGTTTTTGTAATAAATGGAAAGCAAATTACATTTGTCTCCTGCTCTTTTTGGCTAATTTGAAAAATGGTCCGATCCGTGACTTAAAAACAATGATGTGATCCCGAACTGTGAGATTTGTAATCCGTTACACCACTTCTTAAAACACATTTTTTCAATTTTAATCAAGCCAAAACTCTAATCAGAGGGTACATTTAGCTGTAACGGGTTACAGTATTTTTTAACTGTTCCAAATCAATATTATACATCAATCTAAAGTTAAAAAAGATAGTTTTCCACTTTATTTACTTTTCTACTTTATTTAATAGTAACACTTTATTTTGATGGTTCATTTGAGTATTAGTTGACTGTCTGATTAATATCTGTTGATATTGCTCCTTCAACAGACATTTAATTGACTATAAAAATCTTAGCAAGTACATGTCAACTTAACCCTAACCCAGCCTAACTGTCTACTTATAATCTAATGAGAATTAGCTGGCATGTAGATGCAATGTAACTTGTATTCAACAAACAGACCATCAAAATAAAGTTTGACCCTACTTTGTACTGAAGTAAAAATATATATATTCATGGCTCGTTTCCACTGACTGACTGGTACAGTATGGTGTGGTTCGGGTCGGTATGGGTCACCTTTATCAGGCTTGCGTTTCCACCACAAAGGGTACCCTTTTGGTGGGCGTGGTGTATGACAAAGTTAACCAGTCGACGTCATGCTCGCTCGAATAAATGTCTACAGTAAAGCTGTACGGGTTGTTTACATGTCATTACATAGCATTTCTCACAAGATGCTTTATACACATAAATACTTGTGTAGAAATTTTTATTACTAACTTTTCTATGAACATGATTTGATTATAACTGCAGATCAAAATAGCCAAACTGTGTACAAACATCTGTAATTATATAAAATAAATATTTAAATGCAACATATATGAACACATACAGCCCCTTACAGTCTCTGATGTATTATTAATTACAAAAAAACTACACACAGCATACATTTAGTACTAATTTGAGTTAAAAAAACACACGTAATTTAGCCCACAGTCAGCGCAAACCATTCATCTGTGTCTATAATCTTCACCAGCACATGTAAGCTCTGTCAGAGAGTAATTTTGTCATTCTCAGTTCATAACAGTCCAAAAGGCAAATATAAACATGGCAGTTTGTTCATGATTCAGGTTGCTAAAACAATTTTGCTCCTGTGTTTTGTCGGGCTTCTCCTTTTTTTTTCGCGCTTCACTCTGAATAGATCAGATGACGGAGACACTTCAATAATCATGCACACGTTATTATCATCATCTTAAGAAGTTCATTACATCAAATGTTACGTTAGACGCGAAAAAACATGGCGGTTCCTTTGTTTTCATTCTGTCTAGCTCCACGAGCTTGTGACGTATCTCTGTAACCAATCAGCGTTTAGCTGCACGTGCCGCTCCACCTTTTGGTACCCTTTCTCCTGTTTGGTATCCTTTAGAAAGGGTGCCTAAAAAGTGTTAAGGTACGGTTTTTGACAGTGGAAACGGCCATTAAAGTGTGCCAAACCAAACCGTACTGTACTGTACCACTCAGTGGAAATGAGCCATTAGTGTCTTGTTATTATTAAACAATATTTTTACTTGGTGTGAATGTTTTTTTTTTTTCTAAACTACAATAAATAGTTTTGATTTAGATCAAATTTAGTTTGAACCAAAGTCAATTAAGTATACATTGAGAAATAAGTTTTTAAAATTCTAGGTTAGAATGATATTACAGCTTCATATCACACTACTCCACATTAAAATTTAAACTGTTAGCAAAATCTGATGGGTAGCATACTGCATTATTAAAATGTGCTACCTACTTTTTAAATGAGAGGTGGGACAAATCCACAGAACACAAGGCTGGGTCAGATGGCATTCCTGCGTGAAGTTTGCATGTTCTCCACATGTTGGCATGGGTTTCCTCCAGGTGATTCCGGTTTCCCCACAGTCCAAACACATGTGCTATAGGTGAATTGATTTACTAAACTAGCCATAATGTATGTTTGTGAATGTGTAAGTATATGGGGGTTTCCCATTACTGAGTTGCAGCTGGAAGGGCATCAGCTGTATAAAACATCTGGAATAATTGGCGGTTCATTCTGCTGTGGTGACCCATGATGAATAAAGGGACTAAGCCAAAGAAAAATGAATATATGAAAGTGCTTTTGCTGCTATCAGTAAAGTTATACTATAGCTTTATTATGACTATAGCTTTTTCCAGATCACATACTTAGTTATTTACGAATTTGCAGACTATTTATATTCACAAATAGATATTTCACACATTGCATGCAAAGTAATATTTTTATAAAGGTGTAATGGGGCTCTCTAATGGCCCGTTTCCACTGAGTGGTACGGTACGGCTTGTTGTGCTTTTATGGCCGTTTCCACTGTCAAAAAGCGTACCAAACCAAACCGTACCATACCACTTTTTCGGCATCTTTCGAAAGGATACCAAACAGGAGAAAGGGTACCAAAAGGTGGAGCTACACGTGCAGCTGAACGCTGATTGGTTACAGGGATACGTCACAAGCATGTGGAGCAAGACAGAATGAAAACAAAGGAACTACCATATTTTTTTAAATACAAAACCGAGACATTACATGAAAATACTATATGCATATAATATTGAGCCATGGATGACCAGGGTTCAAACAAACCTTGTCATCGTCTTGATGAACAGACACAAAGCCAAGAAGAAAAATCTGCTGTGTCCTGAGCTCGTCTAAAAGTGTGAGCGGTTTTCGCTTTCCTCCAGAAGCTCACGATCGTGTCTAACGTTATATTTGACAAACTTCTTGAGATGATGATAATAACGTGTGTGTGATTATGGAAGTGTCTCTGTCATCTGATCCATTCAGAAAGAAAAGGACAGGTGCGAAAGTGAAGCGCGGAAAAAAAGGAGAAGCCCGACAAAACACAGGAGCAAAATTGTTTTGGCAACCTGAATCATGAAAAACTGCCATGTTTATCTTTGCCTTCTGGACTGTTATGAACTGGGAATGACAAAATTACTCTCTAACAGAGCTTACATGTGCTGGTGAAGAATACAGACACAGATGAATGGTTTGCGCTGACTGTGGGCTATATTGCATGTGTTTTTGAACTCAAATAAGTGCTAAATGTATGATGTGTGTTGTTTTTCTGTAATTAATAATATATGGGAGACTGTAAGGGGTTGTTTGTGTATATATTTGTTGCATTTATATTACTATTTTATATAATTACAAACGTAAGGCTATTTTGCACTGTCATTGATCTTCAGTTTTAATCAAATCATATTCATAGAAAAGTAAGTAATAAACATATATAAACCAGTATTTGTGTATAAAGCATCTGTTTTGTGAGAAGTGCTTATCATATAATATGTAAACGACCCGTACAGCTTTACTGTAGACATTTATTCAAGCGAGCATGACGTCGACTTAAACTTTCTTTCGCACACCACACCCACCAAAAGGGTACCCTTTGTTGTGGAAACGCAAGCCTGATAAAGATGACCCGTACCGACCCAAACCGTACTGTAATGTACCACTCAGTGAAAACGAGTCATAAATCGCCTCGATGGATCACCCAATATCTGCTATTTGTGATCTAGTTCTTACCTCTGCATCCTCGCCGAAGAACCTGTATTTATACCCACACTCGACGCAAAGCACTGTGTCCACATGCTGCTTTTTTATCTCCATGTACTGTTCTTCTAGAGGAGTGTAAATGGTCTTGGTTCTCCTGTTGGAAACAGAAGGCTCTTCTAAACTTTTCCTGTTTCCAGTATTCTTAGCGTACTGACTAAAGGAGAACTCCTGTAAACAGAAAGAGGAAAAAACATCACGTTTAAATAGACATTGTGGCAAAGAGCAATTAATTGCATTCACGCCAAGCAATTTTGTGTTTAACAGACATCTAATTGACATCTAAACAGACACTTTGACTAAAACAAGGCTAAATATGGACAGTACTAGGAAGTCTAATAGTAGTCCAAAATTAAGACATTTGTAGTCACATTTATTTCTCTTTATTTGATGACTGGTGATTTATTGACTGTTGATTTGACTAGGTTTCTATAAAGAAAAAAGAACAATTCTAGCTGGGTTAGGGTCACCCAACATTTTCTGCAGTACAAATACTAAAAGTATTTTTCCCATAGTGTCATTAAAATATCTTAAAGAATCATTAGCCATGAAATGACCCAACCAGATTCAAGATCAAGTATTTAATGCTGTGGTCTCAAACATAATTCCTGGAGGGCCAAAGCTCTGCATAGTTTAGCTCCAACTACCTCCAACTCACACCTGCTTAATGGTCTCTAGTATTATTGATCACCGTGATTAGCTGAGTCAGCTGTGTTTGATGAACGTTGAAGCAAAACTGTGCAGAGCAGCGGCCCTTCAGGAATCCAGTTTGAAACCTATGATTTAATGAGGGATAGAACTACAATCCCATAATGCAGTCTGAATTACACAATCTAATTCAAATCAATGGATAAACATGAAACTTTTCATCTCAAGTTGCTTCATTTGCAGTGCTTTATAAGAGTGGGTGAAGCTAAATATCTATTTTTTCTGCACAGCAGCATGGATAATCTAGTATGTCTTTACAATTTAAGTTTATTAAATATGAAGGTTTTTTTTTTTAAATATGTAGGGTTCAACAAAGACTGAATTTACAGGTTTCTCAGCTATTTTACAAAACCACTTTCTCTATGGAGAAAATAAATTTTTACTTTCGGCGATGAATATTTAGATTTCCAAAAGTCAAATAAATGTTGTTAAATTATCAGAATGACCATATTTTATTCATAACTATTCTTTCTTTTTTCATTCATTCATTCATGGAGTGATTAAATTAAATTAAATTAAATTAACAACACAGCAATAACGTCAAATGTAGCACATTGGTTTTACAGCTTATTACATTTGAAACAATCCAACATCTTTTTGCCACTCATGCACACATGTAAAAATAAATACAGGTCACGACTGAACAAGTGGTCTCCAAAATGTTTCTAAAAAAGGACTTGCTGTGATCCAAACATAGAGCCCACCTATCTCATTAAATAAGGTAAATGTTAAAATCAAACATTGAATAAATGAATCCGATGTTTTCATCCACCCTGTGGTGATTTTGAGCCTTAATTCGTCCAAAATTTTCTCTATGTTTAAACAAATAAAATGATTGTTGGTGACAAATCTTATTTTGGCTCATATTTTGAGAAAATGCTTTAAAACATTTAGCAAAAACTCAACAATACACAGTGGGCAACAAGGGCGTAGGTTTGCTTTTGACATTGGTGTGGACCTATGAACCACCAATTTTGACTAGTTAAAAGAAAGGTTCGGCCAATCACAATGTTCATTACAGTTTTTGTTGGCAAAACGACCCGAATAGAGAATATGATTTAATTCTATCTCCACGTTAATGTTGACAGTGCTATTTTTGTAAGTGAATTAAATTATTGGTGAGGATATTCTTTAGTCGTTGGATATTGGTGGGGACATGTCCCCTTCTTCTATGCTAAATCTACACCCCTGCTGGGCAAACTGGCTCCCCTTTTGTTATGTTTGTGGCTGTTTTTGCCTCATTGACTTCCATTATAATGACATTTTTTGATTGCAAAGCTATGACACCATATACTCATGCATTCTTGATAGCTGGTGGTTTTCTCTGTTGGAAAAATGTGTAATCTTTCTGTTGTTATTGTTGGCATTGTTTTTTTTGGCGGTCATGTGCTGAAAACTTTGGAAACCACTGGTGTAGATGAATCAAGCAGTTTTTCATCTACAATCAAATAAAAGGATGTTTCAAACAAAAAAGATACTTTCTGAAACTAATATATCAGTTTTAAAAATCAAACCTGTTTAACCTTAATGGGCTCTTCTTTGAACTCTTCAACCATTTCGTTATGCATAATAACATTATGTTGCTGTGAGGCAGAAATTTCAGCTTTTCCCGAATGTGAAGGCTCCAACTCCATCACTGAATCTGAGCTCCCTGGGCAGCTGAAGTCTTTAAGTCTGGTCAGGGTGGCATGGCTGATACTGACTTTAGAGGACACCGTCTTACCTACTGCACATAAAAGGGAAAGTAAAGCTTTCAGTACATCTTATGATAATCATGTAATGTACTTGTGTTTTTTATGCATTATGCATAAAACATGTCATGGCACAACATACTTGACAATATTGCTAATAGTTTAACAAATATGCAATATTACATGGCACATCAAATATGGTCCATTCTCAAGGTCAAAGAAATACGCTTTCATGCTTAGTAATAATAATGACGTCAAAATAAAACACATTGTTTAATTTAAAAAGCTCTATATAAAACCTTTTAAAAATTTCAGTCAGAACATAGTGCAACTGTATGCAACTACTATACATGTATTATTCAGAATAATTCTGATAAGTTAGTTAATTAAAATGCAGAATATTTCTAATCGAGTTTCACCATTGCCCTGTTAAATTTAATTGCTCTGAGAGATCAGTATTGCGTGAATCTAGGGCTGGGCCAATAAACAATATTGTATTAAATTGCGATAAATTTTATTTCAATAACAATGATAAGCTCTGGTCATTTTTACTCGATATTGATCTAAGAGCTAATCACAGAGCAGCAGTATGCAATAACAAATAACCAATTAGTATGAAGTCAAAGGACCATTTCCTACCGCACTTTGCTAACAAACTCGACAAGACAACAAAAAGAAGGAAATTATAAGCGGAAGCCTTGACGAAAGTTAACTAACCTTGAGCTATTATCCAAATATGATGAAATTATTGACAAAAACAAGGCAGCACAAATTTGGTTAGATGGAAGTGGTTTAAGGAACAGATTTAAACGATCTGTAATGTCAATGGTTTGTGAAAAAAAAACAAATCTGGCAACACAACCAGCATATTCAATCACAAAAAAAAAAAATCACACCCAAAAAAAAAAAAAAAAAAAAACTTGTTTAACAATTTGTGTGGACTTGCTGAAGAGAGAGAGAGAGAGAGAGAATTCGGAGTTTTTTGCCATTTCAGCTTCTTTAGCTATGTCATGGCAAAAATAAATAAATAAATAAACAAAAGAAAAAAAAACAGATCAAGTTTACCACATTTTATAAATACCACTTTTCTATAGTTATATTTAACAATAAGAAGTCACCAACAGCAATAAATAATATACAACGTAAATACATAAATATTAATAATATTAATAATGATAATATATAAGATAAAAATCTAAAACAGTTTTTAAGGTTTACTTTTGATAAAAAAAAATGTAAAATTTTAGAATATTTTTCACATTAAAAATATTTCATTTAAAGTCTATGCAGATAAAAATTGTTGTCTGATAACATTAAAAATAGGGCATTCCACAATAATATGTTTAACGGTATGGTTTGTGGACTTGCTGGATGTTGTACTGTATATTTTTAATTGTTTGTTTTACACATTTAATTTACCCCCTAATGCCAGATTAGGCTTTTTAAATGTATTTCCTAATAAACAATATTTTAAATTGTAATTTATTGAACCACCTCATTTTTGTTGCATCAGTCATTGTTGGAGATATATCTTTTGAAGCTGAAAGCATAACAACTTATTGTTAACGAAGTTTATTGTTATTGTTCAATATGGAAAAAGACGACTGAGTTTGCATTTTTTCCATATCGCCCAGCCCTACGTGTATCACACTGCTACAATCCTAACTAGTTTTTTTTTTTTTTTAATGTTTCAACTTTACTGTTTAGTTGAAAATGTTTATGAATTTATATCTGGTTTCACTCATTTTGGAAAGGTACATTACATTTAATAATTTAGCAAACACTATGCTATGTCTCGACTAACCAGTTTTCCTTTGAAATACGTAATATTTGTGTATAGTGAGGAGTCCAATTTTGCTGCATGTAACAGTGTTGTGACAAAAAAGGCTCTTTATCATATTAGAGATGTATCAAATTTTAACTCATTTTCATTTTGTCTTAACAAGAGACTGATATAAAGAAGCTTTATTTTTATGATTTGTGTTGTTGTGTCAGACTGCATACCTAGCATAGTAGGCTGTCTTATATGGTGAATAGGATACACACATAGTATACATATGTATATGCAAAATTGGGAATTACCACCACAAAATCTGTCATTTTTATCGCAAAAAAAAATCACAAACCGTGAAAAACTAGGGGGTCTGCTTAATACAATATGCTTTGGCGATCCCTGATAAAGAACTACAACAACACGAAAACCTCTAAAATGAACATTAGATGTAGTGTTACATGGACATCGGAAAAATAAGACCTGTGCAAAATATTTAAGACCTAGAAGAGCGAATTTAAGACTTTTTAAGGCCTTAAATTTCGATTTTTAAATTTGAGACTTTTTAAGACCCTGCGGAAACCCTCAAAATGAATGAATAAACTCACATATGTAGTTATACTAAGTCTTCTGAGATCTGCATAAATAAGCTGCTTTAAAATAAACAGTGCAATGGAAATTCACAAACAAACCATCTGAAAACAACAAAAAAGCGAACGAAAGGAATGAGTTGTGCTGTATGAAGCATTTTCATTTTGCACCAAAGTTTCCACTTACAGTATGTCATGAGTATGTGAATTGTAATACATTGCTATTTTGCATATTAAATTTGAATGAATATTGCTACACATACGCTTCTATAGTGTAGCATGTGTGTGCTTACAGGTGCTGGGGGTCACTGTGAGCTCCTCATCCCTCTCCTGCTCCACGCTGACCGAGAGTTTGGCTCGTTTATCTGTGGATGCTCCTCCATCAGACAACCTCTTCTAAAACAGAACAGGTTTACATTTCAGAAGGTGCCTGTTTTGAAACAGCCAGAGCTTCAGCATGAGATGAATATAGTGTTTTTGACTTAAACTGTTGGTACAGTATGACTCTGAACTGAAGCACTAGAGGTGTTCAAGGGCTAGTTCAACCCAGAAAATTTACATTCTGTTATCATTTACTCAATCTTTACTTGGGACATTTAACCAGAAACTTATATTTTTTAAAAATGTGTCTTCCTCAAAAAAAACAATCATAAAATTTAATGATAGAGTGCATCATTGATTTTTTTTTTGTGTGTGTGTTTTAAAAATACAAACATATTAATCATAACAATGGGATGACATCAAGTACAATAGTAAATCAGTTTATTATTAATTTTTAATAATAAAATAAAATAAATAAAAATAAAAAAAACAGTACAGAGGCAAATGATCAAATTAAACAATATTTACAAAGTCCTTATAAAATTTCACAGTTTTAACACTTTTTTTGCTATAAACATTTTGTAAATTAAGTAAATAATTAAATTAATTAAATAATTTAAGTCACAAATTCAGTAATTTAGGTAATGATGAAGAAAATTTACATTTGTAAACATAATATTTGCCCAATAAAATAAATATATTGCCTATAAATTCTATGTTATGTTTGTAATGAGAAAAAAACAAATTACATCACATATGGAAAAATCAATGTTTAACTTAAATTTTGATGAAAAATAGATGGATAAATCAGACCAAAACAAATTAGCATGTGGGCATTTGACAAAAAGATGATCAATTGATTCAATGCTTGAGTAACACACAATTTGAGTCAGGATTACCGAATTTAGAAACAATCTCATTCGTGGGGAAGATATTGTGAAACACTTTTAAATGTAATTCTTTAACTTTGTTGGGAACACACAATTTGTTAGGTAGGAGCCAAGCCTTTTTCCAATTAATTTTATCTATTAAAGAATTCCAAAGATATTTTCCCCTTGGAGTAATTCTTTTCTTTGACTGAAACACGTTTCTTATATTTTTATTATTACATTTTAGGTCAAAAATGCATTTGTCTTCAACTAAAAATTTTGGTTCATTTTTAACAATTACTTCAAATGACGTGGCATTTCATTAAATGAGCAAGGCCATTAGGTAAGGCTTTAATCACAGTATAGAATTCATTATGAATAACAGGGAAATTATATTTAACCATAAAATCACCATATGAATAAAAGTTCCCTTGTAAATCAAATCAATCACAAACATAAAATCTTTTTCATGTCAATTCTTATTAAAAACGATTTATTCTTTACTAAGATGCTTTCGTTGTAGAACGCATCCTTGATCACTGTCAGCTTCTCCATTAAATGATGTCACTTCCTTTGAGTCATAGCCTTGTGTATTACACACGTTTTATGTTAAATTTAATGCAAATGTGACAGGACTGACTGAAACATGGGGACAATCGTAAATTTACTTGTATTATATATTAGTAGTATTTATTTGTAGAATTTATTTATACAATTAAATAAATTATATATTATTTTCTAAATAAACAGTTTTTAGCATAACAAAATTATGAACCAAGCGGATCTGATTCAGACATTAGCAGATCAAGTAGTCTAGATTCAGAAGCTGCACAGCCAAACATAAACTCTGGTCAAAAAAATGCAACCAGCCAGGGTAACAAAACTTTTTCTTGGAGAAAGAAACATTTTAACACCCCTGAGTGAATGTGAGTGCACATTCAGAGAGTCAAGTTCCAACCCTCCAGACAACCTTCACACAACCCTGGAGTATTTCAGAAAATTCATAACAGCAGAGATGTTCGAGTTACTGAAGGAACAAGCACATTTGTACAGTGCGCAACTATCTGGAACACAAAAGAATGTAAATACCACTGTTGAACTAGAAATTTTGATTGGAACCGACAAATTATTCAGCATATGTTTTACACAGCAGATGCCCTTTTAACTGCAACCCAGTACTGGGAAACACCCATACACTCTTGCATTTCCACATACACACACTATAGGGCTAATTTAGTTAATCAATTCCCCAGTATTGCATGTGTTTGGACAGTGGGGGAAACCAGAGGACCCAGGAAACCCACGGCAAAACGGGGAGAACATGCAAACTTCAAACAGGCACGCCAACTGACCCAGCCAGGGCTCGAACCAGCAACCTTCTTGCTGTGAGGGGACAGTGCTACCCACTACGCCATTGTGTCGCTTGGAGGAAGTTATTTATTTTTATTTAGTGCACTCATTTTCGGATAGTGTATAAAATACACTAACAACTATACCAAAAAAAAAAAAACAAGGTAGAATTTTAATGTTTCAAAAGAGTTGTAAAATATAATGGTCACAGTCATGGAGCTTTGAAATATGTTATGGAAAAGCAAATAAACAAAAACAAATTTTATGTAGCAAATAAAACTAACAAATGTATTTTTTTAATTGTGAAAAACTGCCCAATGTGACATGTAGATGTAAAATTTATTATAAACACCCAATGTCACATATGTAACATTACAGATTTTTCAGGAAGAGGGGTTGCATTTCAAAACCAACTGCAGAAACATGTTATAAGTGGTCCATTTGGTTTGTATTATATGTCTCACAATTTTCCTATAACCTTCAAGGGCAGGGGTGTCGAATCCCGTTCCAGGGGGGTCACAACTCTGCACCGTTTAGTTCCAACCCTGCTCCAACACACCTACCAGTAGGTTTCAAACAAGGCTGAAGGACTCAATTACTTTGATCAGGTGTGTTTAATTAGGGTTAAAGCTAAACTGTGCAGGCCTACGGCCCTCCAGGAACTTGATTTGACACCTGTGTCCTAGGGCCTGAGTGTCCACATACGTGGACAGTAGGCTTGCCAAGATAGACGGTGTTGACGGTGATACCGGTTTTAAGACACAACACCGGTGACATCACTTTTCCACCGTGACACCGTCCCCACATTTGTTTTTTCTAAGTATTCGTTTTTTTTTTATTAAATATTTATTTGAATTAAATGGAAAATAGAAATCATAATAATTTACTCAAGACCAGAGCATGCACTATAATTAAAATCTGAACATAATGCGTCATATTTCATTTATCTCGTGAGAATAAATATGCAAGGCATACTCTCATATTAAAAATCACGCAACCACCATCTCACAATGTTTAATAATAAATATCTTATTTTTATTGAAACAAGAATGTAGCAATGCCGCGCCATTGACAAGCCAACTGCAGAGAAACAAAGCAACCATCACGGCAACTGAAGTGAGCACTTTTTCCGAATTCAGCTCTTCTTTTTTGCACTTTATGCGTTTCATGTATAAAAAAATAAAAGATGAATACGCCTACAAGAGTGTAACCTGTGTGTGCGCGCGTCTTTTATCAGCGAGGCCGCTCTCTTTAAAAAACGAAAGTTGCTTCGTCTGTCTAGTAAACTGACACGCGTGTGGTGATTTTTTGCTCTGACGAGGAGCTTTTTTTTAGCCTGTAGTCTTAAGATTTTTTACATAATGTTTAATTTCTTAACATTTCTTTTTTTCATTTATAGTTTATATATAAAATGAGTGCTAGCTTGTTTAGTTGTGATCCAAAAAGTTTCATTGCGTGTGCGCAACGAGCTGCTCATCTGAGAGTGTGTTCAGCACGATGGGAACATAATGAGCCCCACAAGATCCCATCTTAAGCCAGAGATGGTCAACATATTGGCCAGGATTCCTGGCAAAGAACATGTAAACCTCACTGTTAATAAATGCTAATTTACAGTGTTTTATTTATCTATTTTTTTAAAGACTGTGTCGACCTGTCATTTATGTAATGTAATTTTGAAAGTTTTTCTTTTATATTTGTTTCTTGTTCATTTGTTTAATCTTAATTAAACTCTGAGCATTTAAATTATTTATCTTTCTATTGTATTTTCTTATTCGTTTTAAAAACATTCTAACATTCATCACATTCGTCCATTCAAACAATTGACGCCGAATTGGCAACTCCCGCAAAACTGAAAGTGAAAGTATTATATGCACGCATTTATAAGCTATTTAAAAGCAGAAAGAACAGAGGAAACCCCCACGGTGATACCGGTATTACTGGTGTTGTCACATGTCGATTAACCGGTGGTGAAATTTCCTCATCGTCACAACCCTAGACTGGACAGCACATTTTTAAAATACTTTGAATGTTTTATATTTTGTTACAGACAGTATCATCCTGCAGCATTTGAAATGTTCCAAACCCTATTTTTAAAAATTTGTTTTTACTCTCTGATAGTCAAAGCAAGTTCAAAAAATGTTAAATATGCACAAAAAAATCCTGGGGAAAAAGTTTTTATGTAAATTTGGACCACGAGTCCACATATATGAACATCATTTTTCCATAAAAGTACATTATATCAAAAGATGATACTTAGATTTTTATTCTAATTAGGTCCCAATAAGCCCAAATAGCAAAGAGAAATAAAAAATGCATGTAAAAAACACCTTGGGCCTTAAGAAAGGACAAATCGGTCTGGGTTCTTATGGGTTAAAGCAGTGGTCCCCAAACTTGTTCCTGGAGGGCCGGTGTGCAGCAGGTTTTAGCTCCAACCCTATTCAAACACACCTGAACAAGCTAATCAAGGTCTTACTAGGTATACTTGAAACATCCAGGCAGGTGTGTTGAGGCAAGATGGAGCTAAACCCTGCAGGGACACTGGCCCTCCCGGACCAGGATTGGTGACCCCTGGGTTAAAGGTTAAATTGGGCTGAGGACAAGTACAATGACAAGGTTTGTACATTTTAAAGAAAAAAAAATCTAAGAACCGACATTCATTTACAGAACCACTCACATGAATCAACCATCAGTCCATTTTAGACATTTTTTGGGATTAAAAAAAAATGTATTCACTGTATTTATGTCTTTATTTCAGGGACAGATAATGTACGTTTCTGGTAGAATGCCCCACTAAGGACTCATTTCGTTAAACAATCTTTTCAACATGTTGTGAACAAGGCGGGAAACCTGTAACCTTTGTTGACTAACTTACAATAGTATTTGTTATTGTAACTTTGGAAGTCAAGAGTTACAGGTATTCAGCATTCAAGAAACTAAAAATGTTTGGAACCACTTGAGGTGAGTGAATACTGTCAATCTTATTTTTTTGTGGTGAACTACAGTATCCCTTGCAGTCTATATCTCCACATAAATAAGCTGTCTGTGTCTATTACTGCTCTCTTTGTCTCTCTCTCTATCTCTCTCTCTTACCTTCCCTCTGCCCTCATGGCGTCGGTCTTGACAGTTAATCTGCTCAGTTGGTTGAGCCCGATCGCTTGCATTAGTGAAGAACCTGCTGATAGTTGTCTGAGTGCTGGATTTCTTGGAGGATTTGGAGGCAGACACGCGTCTGACAGCTGTGTGCATTTTACTACATTAACGATATCAGATCTTTACCGTTTGGTCTGCAACAGGAGCTTGTTTGAAAACCGGCCAAAACTCTTATGATTAAAAATAGTCTCCAAGAGAGACTACAGCTTTGCTGCAGCTGATCGGGTTGGCGCGTTGATGACGTATGCACTGTGTTGCACACGCGGATTCTCAAATGTACTGCAGATGGTGAAAGATGCGCTACATTTTACGCAGTCACTGCTGTAGTATATAGGTATACACACTAAATATCGCAAACGGACCCTGACCATGCGTCAATAGCGCCGCCACATTTGTACAGTGCTCCCAGGACACTAGTCATTTAATCAAACTCAAGACAGTGTGCCAATGTGAAGATGCTAGACTTCAATGCTGTGGGTGTAGTATATATAGCATAAAGGGGCTAATAATTTTGACCTTAAAATTGTGTTTTAATCAAACTAAAAACTGCTTATATTATAGCCAAAATAAAACAAATAAGATTTTCTCCAGAAGAAAAAAAGCACGATCTTCGATGCTTCCCCTTTCTTTATTTTGTTCTTTTTTTTCTTTCTATTTCTTATTTTTACTTATTGTACTTAACACTTTTAACTGTATTCCAGTTGTAATTGTGTTTTGCTCCTTTATTTCTGACAGTCTTGCTCAGTCTGATTGATAACTGAACAAGACACTCAGAAATAAAGGTACAAAAGCTGTCACTGTCACTTTTGTACAGGTAAGGCTTAGTACCTTTAGGGTATACTTCTGTACCTTTAAGTTACTGTGAGGTATGCACTTGTATTTTTTAAATATTAAATGGGACCTTTAAGGACCTGTTATGAACAAAAATGTAAGTTTTGAAAATGTACCACGCCAGTGACACAATTTGTAGCTTTATTTCTGACAGTGTGTGCACCAATGACTGTAAAAAATATGGACGACGCGACAGCCCTTTTTCCCATTGAACGCCTTGAGGGCAAAACGCCTGCTTGACGGGCACAAACTGTCGCAAAAGACTGCTGAAATTGGAGCCAGACATGCGCAGAAGGACTGTCTGATGGAGCCAGAGGAGGAGCCGCGAAAATGAGCAGAGTCGAGCTTCCAATCAAACGCTTTATGTAAAATCAACTACGCCCCCCGAACTTCTCAGCATGCGTTTGCTGTCATATCAACACAAATGGATGTAATAACGTTAACAAATATGAGGGTTTTATATATTCAATCGCGCCAGCTCCAGGCCGCAGCGCACAACTTACTCGCGGCGTCGCGGGCTGATTCCGGCTCGCATGCGGCAGCGCCTGCTCGCTCGGCCGCCGCATCTGGCTCGATTGACTAGGACTGGAATCGGGCAGTGAGTCCAGGCATCCGGAGTAGGTCCAGCAGAGGTAACATTAGTCAGTCTGAGCTCTAAGAGATAAGTCTCCGGCAGGCGAGAATCTAGCCGGAACTGTGTTTTGCTATCTGGGTGGCTAGGCGTGTATCAGCAAACTAATAAAGCCCGAAAAAAGCCCTGAACTTAGCGAATAAACAGTGTTCCACCAGGATCATGTATGTCAGAAACTATAGTTTACTGCTGAACTAATTTTGTCATGGTAAAATAACACAGAAATCGAATAATAACATTTCAGTCTACTTCAGTCTCCTGCCGAAGCTCAGACGCCGCGCTTTGAGAAACTGTCAATCACAGCTGTAAATCACGATGACACGCCCAGCATTAAATTACTGCTAAAAACAAACTGTTTACAAAAATGAAGATCTGCACCTATTTCAGCACAATAACCAGTGCCTTAATCGACCAGAACTATCTTTCGGGACATTTTATTGCAAGTGTAATATTTTTTTTTATTTGGGCTCAAGTCTCCTTCATTAACACGGAGGAGGCGGGCTTTATGACTTGTACTGCAGCCAGCCCCCAGGGGGCGATCTAACGGCCGAAACCTTCACTCAAACGTAGGCTTGCGGCACACTTGGTGTGCACACATTAACCAACTGCATGGAAACCATAACAAGTCCCCTTATTTGACATTCCTGTATTTTGCAATTGCATTCAGTGCGCTTTTGAGAGATTTTTGTCCCATAAAGCAAAAGTTAAATAGGTAACAAGTACTTCTCGAATTTCCTTGGCTGTATCTGAAATCTGGTTAGATATTAAAATCCCTTAACCATTGTTGAGTATTTATGAAGGCAATAATTTAGCAGCACCTGCAGGAGTCAAATTTCACTGATGATAGGTGGACTATTGTAATGATAAATAATAATGCTAATATAATAACGTGTTCTACTGGCTTTATAAAAATCAATATACAGGTATACATATACAATTGAAGTCAGAGTTATAAGCCCCCCTGTATATTTTTTTCCTCAATCTCTAACAGAGAGATTTTTTTAACACAAGTTGTTAAACATAAGTTTTAATAACCAATTTCTAATAACTGAAATACTTTCTTTTAATGACAGTACATATTATTTTACTGCAGATTTTTCTAGAAAGTATTGCGTATTAAGATTTGACTAAATACTACTAGTAGTGCAGCTTAAAGTGTAACTTAAAGGCTTAACTAGGCAGGTTTGGGTAAGTAGGCAAATCATTGTATAATATTTGTTTTGTAAACTCACAAAAAAAAATGCTGAAGGGAGTTAATAATATTGACCTTAAAATGTTTTTTTTTATATTATCATTATTAATATGCTTTTATTCTAGCTGAAATAAAACAAATACGACTTTCTCCAGAAGAAAAAAATATTATCAGACATGCTGTGAAAATGTCCTTGCTCTGTTAAACATCATTTCGAAAATATAAAAAAAAATAATAATAAATTCACAGGAGATGTAATAATTTTTACTTTAACTCTTATATTTTGGGTGTTGAAATGAGGGAGCTTGTTATTTTTAACTAAATGTAACCGGTGCGTAAATAATGTCTTGCCCTTTGCTTGACCATCCGTGCTTTTTGTTATGCCTAAACAGTACACCATCGACTTCCTCAGGAGGAGAGCTGGCATCGGCTGGGAGAGGGACATGTTGGCGTGTCGGTGTGCTTTGGCAATATGAGTCCCAGTGGAAAGATGATGTGATCACAGCCCTGAAAGAGGAAATGTCAGCTGATCCAGATGTCACACACAGACTTTATTGCCTGAAGAGTGACTTCTTAAGAAGGATCAGATATAGCAACTAAGGAACATGTTTGTTAGTACTCGCTCTGCTTTGTCACATTACACTTAAAATGATTTACAGTTCACTGTAACAGATAAGGGTGACACGTTGAATATGACAAAAAAAAGTGATGAATAAAGGATCCACGCCGAAGGACAATGAATGAATGAATGTATGTGACGAATAAGGGGATTGTAGATATATAGCTTACCTGGGTCATCAGTATCCTTGGTGTATGATGGTTTTTATCAGCCTTCTGCACCAATTTCTTTATTTATCACATTTATATATAAGGGCTGCACGGTGGCGCAGTGGGTGGCATGTTCGCCTCACAGCAAGAAGGTTGCTGGTTCGAGCCTCAGCTGGGTCAGTTGGCTTTCTTTGTGGAGTTTGCATGTTCTCCCTGTGTTCGCATGGGTTTCCTCCGGGTGTTCCGGTTTCCAAAACATGTGGTACAGGTGAACTGGGAATGGTAAAATTGACCATAGTGTATGAGTGTGTGTGAATGTATGTATGGTTGTTTCCCAGAGATGGGTTGCGGCTGGAAGGGCATTCGCTGTGTAAAAAAATATGCTGGATAAGTTGCCGGTTCATTCTGCTGTGGCAACCCCAGATTAATAAAGGGACTAAGCCGAACATGAATGAATTTATATATCATATTTATGCAGTATTCCAAGACATTTTGTAGTATAAATTATGGAAGTTACATTGACACTGAAAAGTCTAAAATGAGCACCTTTTAAAAGGACACTCTAATCCTTTAGAAATAGACTCATTTTACAAGTCACCTATAGAGTTAAATAGTTGAGTTTTTTTCATTTTAGAATCAATTTTAGCCAATATCCAGATTTAAATGAGCACTTTTAGCTTAAATTAGCATTTATCATTAAATCAGATATGACCATTTGCATCTCACTTAAAAGTGAAGAGAGAGTGTTGTTAATTTTTCTCATTTAAAGCTTCTCTGTAATTACTAAAAGTGATGGAAAAGAAAAACTTTATATTTTCTAGGCCAAAAGTGTAGTGTAGAAACTATATTCTCATTCCCCTGTAATAATTTGCTTCCATATCATGTCTGCAGCATGTCTGTTTATGCTGATTGTAACTGGTGGTGCCATATAAACTGCTTAAAACTTGGTGCAAATATAGGATTTGGTGCTGGGGACTAGTATATATGCAGAGCTAGTGTTTTTCAGCCAATGATAAACTTCCGGTGAAGGATTAATGTGACTATTTTCAATTTCATAAAGATTATAAAGTTTATTACTGCATTGATGTTATAATGTAATAACAGTACATTCTGTTAAATCGACTTAAGCATTTATTTAGTTGTTCAAGCGTGAAACGAGATGAAAGACAACCACTAGCACCGTCAGGATCAGCAGGTGCTAAAAAAACATTAAAAATACTGTGGTAAAATAAATGTCTGTATATTGAAGACATGGTGCAGATCATTGTAATTTATTGCAGTGCTGTTTAGTGTGGTCTGAGACCCACTTTATATCTATCAGGCAGTGAAGATCACTGATTTTTTTTTTTTTAAAAATCAGACCTTAAAAATGACAATTTTTGTAATGGAAAGACAGTTCACCAGAAGCCCTAAAGCAGGCTGGATGAAATTAAAAGTCATATTTTCAGGCACCATGTAATATCATTGTCCATTGTAAAGCAGCAAAGTTCCTTGATTTTTACTTTATAAATGTTTAACTCTCAGTAAGATTACTACAAAAACTGAAATAAATTAAAGCTAAATTAAATGTAGAATAAATTAAATGTATTACAAAATATTAAACATTAGTAAATATTATTATAATACACAAATGAAACTGAAACTAGTACCATCAAGACAACTTCGACTAGGCTAAATTTAGCACAACTGGTCATGAAAATAACAAGAAACACCAGAAATTTCAAAACTTTTCTTTTATTTGTCATGAAAAGACTTTTCAACAACTGGATTGAGAAAAGTTATACATTTTAGCTCTCAGACAGTGGGGGCCCTAAGTGAAACGTAGTAATGTTGTACATGTAGAAAGGACACAAAAAAAGATCCGTAAATGGTAACACAAAAGCACCAGACCTTCGAAATAGATTTCAGAACTTCTGTGACACGATAACCTTTTCAAAATATGGAAGAAAAAAAAATTTTAATTATGAGCTATCATATATTGCAGGTTTTCACCACACTTTCAGGGTTTAAAATGACACTGTTCCATCATATAAGCATTTCTAAACAGTACATCAAACATTTTAAAATACTGAAATCATACAGCACTTCCTACCTAACAGAGTTTACCCATGATGCCAAAACAAATCCCTCCTTAAAACAAGATATGCACATTAAATACCACAAATGAAACTGAAACCTGTCATCTGTTGAGGCAACAAAAATTATTTGAATTGCATAGAAGCTTGTTCTTTCTAGTCCTTGAAAACTAAAACTACACATCTCTTAAGACCAAAGAAAATGTATATTTTTCAAGACAACTGAGAATTTTAAATGCTAAATGTGTTCAAAATAACCCTGAAGCACATTTGAGGCCACTCGGACAATGAAGTGAACAGTGTACCGTTAGGTGAGGTCTTCTACAATGGTGTTAAAATTGCATGATTTCTCTAGGGATGCTTTCATGATTGGTTATATTTGGCCTCAAAATAAATAACACACAAGGATAGCACGTTCTTATTTAAAGAGCAGGATTTCAGATATATTCATAGAGTCTTCTGATAATGCGATCACTACGCTACTGTATTTGTATTGATAAAGTAGGCATTATATAGCAGATATTTGCCCGGTATGGCTAAGAAACCCCTGAGCACACACTTCACACCAACACGATTCAAATATTGAATGGAAAACACTCCACGCATGGCCAAAAAGACGACGACGAAGAAGAAAAAAGTATATTTCATTCTCTAATTCACGCAATTATCTATGAATCAAAAAATAGTGTTTGGTATGAGCGCTTTTGTGTTAGTGAAACATTAAAAAATCCAAATCATTAATTGAAATACAAACTAGAGTTTGACGAAAAAAGTAAATAAACATTTATTTTTAATAATCCAAGTACTTGTATTTAAAACAGATGCTCACCTAAAAAAGATCTTCACTGTAAATGATGTTTTTTGCATTTCACCCCAGATGGGGTTTTTTCCCAGATGAATGTGTAGTTTAAAATAAGAGAATAGAATCTGAATTATTGTACATAACGAATGCAGACGACTGATAAGTGCAAGGTTAAAAGTTGGATGACATAATGCATACCTGTCAGTAAACACAACAAATATTAGGAGACAAGCTTGTGTAGTAGAATAAATTCATTAAGGAAAACTCTTTATTTTAGTTAGCACAAACCATTCTTCAATGTGGAAACTGGTTTCTGCCACAGGATAAAAAAATGGAAGCAATTAGGGTTACTTTTTAAATAACACAATTTTTGTCTTGTGATTTAAACCAGTAAAATCTAAGTTTATATGTGACAAATCAGACTTTTTCTCAGAAATTTGAGAGTTGAAAGACAAAAACTTGAAACTTGTGAGACAAATTGTCACTATTTGTACATCTCTAGGTTTTTAAAATACAAACTAGCAATTGTTTTTCAAAAAAAAAAGTACAAATTAAATTTGCAATTGCAAGCAAGTCAGAATTCTTCATTTATAAATTCCAATATGTCCTGATTTTAAATAACCTTTTTTTAATTGTTTTAAATGTGTCCTGTAGGTCCACAGCCTATGGCATCTTCAGTCAGTTTAATTCCCAAGAAAGTCACGTACTAACAAAAATCTATGGGGGAAAAAAAATGTAAATAAACCAACAACCAAACAGATATTTGTGGAAATTAAGCTCTTTTTTTCTTTCATTAATTCATTTTTAATGATCAATTAGTACAACAATACACACTGCTAACAATAAAGATTTTAGTATATATTTCTTACAATTGTACATCTGCAGGCTTTTAAGATAGCAACTGTTGAAAAAAATACAAATCACACTTGCAATTACAGACAAGTCAGTCAGATTTCTTCATTTATATACTTAAATATGTCCTGATTTTAAATTTGTTTACTTGTATTGTTTTAAATAAGTCCTGCAGCCTAGTATCATCAGTCAGTTTAAATCCTAAGAACGACATGTACTAACAAAAATCTATAAAAAAAAAGTTTATAAACCAACAACCAATCGGAAATTTCCGGAAAAGTCATTTTTTCATTATTTAATTTCAAATGATTAATTAGTGAAACAATACCCACTGCTGACAATAAGAAACCTCCAAATTAAACCTGCAATTGCAAGAAAGTCAGAATTCTTCATTTATATCTCACTATTGCAGTTTTCATTTTTATTTATTTATTTATTGTGATTTTTGAAATAGCACGCTCTCACAATCCTGACTCATTCACAACACCAAACTTAAATTCAGAATTCTAGGCATTTAGTATAATATAGTAGAACTTTCAGTTCACAAATATAAGTTCATAACATGCTAATGTGAGATTTAATTCACAAATCTCAGAGGAAAAGTCTGAATTGTAAAATATAAACTGTTTTATAGAAATAATATAAATTGTATAAAATAATATAATGTAAATTTCAATTGTTTTCCATGGCAGAAACAAGTTTCTTGATTTCCCAGCCTGCTGTAAGTACAGCAATATAGAGGCAGCAGCTTGATCATAATAGTGGATAATAAAAAGGTACTGCAATACATCACTTGAAAACCCCTGATGCAGGGGCTAGTAAAGTAAGGTAACGATCCAGTACTCATTTACGTATATAACATTTTTGTTCTAAAAGGACAAAACAAAAACTGACTCGTGTCTATTTGGACAGATTCCACCTGAATAGTCTGTTTATAGATGAATAGAATGAGAGATATAAGAAACAAAGGGATCAGGTTAGATTTCATTATCTATCATATATCAGCGTACGCAAGGGGCTTCCGTCAGCTCCACATCACATATCTGTACCATGTTTGAATCATCTTTAAATGAATTGCAGAAAAACTGCTGGTGCTCGCTTTCCCCCAACATATGTTCAGTTCATGTGGGTGTAAGGAACATCTATTATATCACATAATTGTTTTTGAACCAATAATAAAACTAACTGAATATATGTTTACCTCCCAGTAGAAACATTCAGTTATGACAAATGTACTGTGTGAGCTGTCATATAATTTGGTTATAATTTGATCTTTGCGCACAAGTAACATACAAAATTCCTTTTTTTCTTTTTAGATGACTAATTGTACAGTTACACAGGGAAATGATATAAAATAAAGCATGTGCTTAACATAATTAAAAACAGATCTTCCTAAAACATAAAAAACTAAATAATGTAGTTAGCGATTTATCTTTATGTTACTGCTTTGTACAAGTCTTGAGTAAAGTTATAAATAGATATTTTCCTCTGTATATCATGATGTGAAAATGTCATCATAGTATTTTTACATTCATCATCTGTGACTTCCCACTTAAAACAATAATTAAGCCACAAACACACACACACACACACAAACTCACACAGTTCTCTTATAAACGATTTACATTTTCCCCTGCACTGTGGTTCCGGCTGCTCCAGCGATGAGGTGTGCTTATGTGCGGTTTAGTGTCTGGAAGATTCTGGAGATTTGGAGCATGACGGGACCCGTCTCAGGATCATTCATCCACTGTGTGCTGTTCAGCGGATTCTCCAGCATGTCCTCAAATGCTGAAAAGCCCCAAAAGTATAGATACAGTTAGGCCCATAAATATTGGGACACAATTCTAGCATTTTTAGCTCTATTCACCAACACAATGGATTTGAAACTAAACTAAGATGTGCTTTAACTGCAGACTGTCAGCTTTAAATTGAGTGTATTTACATCCAAATCAGATGAACACTGTAAGAATTACAACAGTTTGCAGATGTGCCTCCCACTTGTTAAGGGTCCAACAGTAATTGGATAATTGGCTAGTCAGCTGTTTTATGGCCAGATGTGTGTTATTCTCTCTCTATCCCAATTACAATGAGTAGATAAAAGGTCCAGAGTTCATTTCAAATGTACTATTTGTATCTAGATTCTGTTACTGTCAACTCTCAAGCAAGCCATAATTAGGCTGAAAAAACTAAACGAACCCATCAATAAGACAGCAAAAACATCAGGCGTGGCCAAAACAACTGTTTGGAACATTCTTGAAAAAACAACTATGGTGGAAGACCAAAGAACTATTTCCCTGTGCCGAAAACACTTTCTACTTAACAGTTGGCCAGATCTAGAACACTCTCCAGGAGGTAAGTGTATGTGTGTCAGAGTCAACAATCAAGAAAAACAGGAAGGCCGGATTAGAGTTCAATCTGCAGTTAAAGCATACAAGTTCATTTAATTTCAAATCCATTTTGTTGGTGTATAGAACCAAAAATGTTAGAATTGTGTCAAGCTCTGGTGTTCCTAGCCCTATCTAGTGTTCTTCGTGCTTTCAAAATAGTAGTCCTGCTTTCAATGCATTGGCTAAACATAAGAGGAAAAAAAATCAGATGATTTAAAAAAAAGCTAAATATTAGCCTTGGAGACATATAGGTCAACGCCTATGAATACAGATGAACATTTTAAATATGTGCTGATTTACTGTCTCCTTTTGGTTCACTCAGAGATCATTCAGCTCCCAGCTTTCATCAACTATTAGCAGAATTTCTTCTAACTTAGTAGTCACTAACATTATTAAAATGCCCATACTAAACAATACACTTTTTCTCACAATCTTGTTTTAATTACTCTTTTCGCACTTGGGCAGCTAATGGACTTGTTGAGGTAAATGATTTATGTGAGGAGGGGGTATTCACATCTTTTTTTTTTTTAAATACAGTCTTCACAACAGTCATTTGTTTTGTTTCTTTCAGGTCAGACACTTTGTTAAGAAATTGTTTCCCTGAACACCATCTTGACTATTCCTTCAGTACTCACCAGAAACATCTAATTTCGGCTATTTATAATTTAATAAGTACACTAAACGCAGATCCTATAGTTTCTCTCAAAGAATCTTGAGAAAAATGACCTTGTGTTGGTATTGAGGAAGGTCAATGGGAAGATATTTTAAAAATGATCCATTCCTCCTCTATTTGTCTATTACAACATTATTCAAACTTGGTTAATATCAGTAAATAGATGAACAAAAATTTGCTAATGGATCATTATTCTAAAGTGTTACCAATCAGGTTTTAATAGTGTGTAAAATTTCATTTTTGGGTCCCTTTATGTTGTCTACTAATGCAGAGTTCAAAATGCACAATTTTAGCCCAGATTTTGACTCGCCGACAGGTTTTGAGAAATCGCCAACAAATGCCTAAAAATCAAAGGCAACTCTGTGTTCGTTCATGCGAGTAACTATCACACAGTGAGAACTATCAAAGACGTGATCTGAGAGAATCGCTGATGAGTCACTGACACCCGTGAGATATTTGGCATGCTAAATATCTGGAGCAGTCTGTGATTCAAAATCATGCTGTGTGGAATGTGTTCTGATTGAAAAAAACATCTTCAGCCAATGAGAGAGCAGCATCCACTAGTATAGGTATCTGCAGGCCAGCGGAAGGTTGGGGGAGAAATTATAAGTGCTTCATTTTAGTCTTTTTTGGACCCAAGAAATGAAGGAAAAACTAGTGTACATTTGTCAGGAGCACTTGTGTGTGTTAGACATGTCATCTTAGGAATACCACGACCGGCTCGACAAAGAAAAAAAGTTAAGGAGAAATTTCTAATTCCCTCCAAAACCCAGTTTAGTTTCTAGCTTACTAAAGTCTTCTTTCCCATTATGTAGTTAATAACAAAACGTTATCTGGGTATACCCTGCATTGTTTTCATGTTAATTTTTGCTTGTTTGGTTGTGAGACATTTTTTGCAGACTCAGACAAAGTTGTCGCCGATTTTTCCTATTGTAAAGTCATGCAGTGTGAAACCCCATCGCTGATCCATCTTGTAGTGTAAACACAGCAGCAACTAAATGCTGCCCCAAAGAGTCATGCAGTGTGAAAACACCTGTGAAACGACTACTTCGAAAATCCTCTAGTCTAAACTCAGCATAACCAAGAGGAGCAACAAGACAAAAACACAAAGTTAAGAAAAATGAAACTAAGATGTCACTGTCAGAACTGCGATTGGAAAAAAATGGGACATACTGACCAGCCATCACTAATATTTTTAGCACTCCAAAGATTAAGCCCTTTTTATGAGAGTGGCTAGAAAGAAAGTCACTTCCATGCCAGTCCAGACTATAACTGGAGATTGTGAGAAGCCGCGTGACAACAGCTGAATGGCTTTGAAAGTAACTGCCGTGGTTTGATGAAGTGAAAATTGAGCACTTTGGCCTGACAGCAAAGTGCTATGTTAAACACAAACCACAGAGAGAACAACACCCAAATAACGTCATCTTACAATCGAGCGTGATGTTGGAGCATAAAAGTCTGAGGTTACTTTTCAAAATTTGAAAAACTAGCTGTGATAAGTGGCCAAATGAACAGAATCAAATAAAGACTGAAAAACCTCCATGATACCAGCAAAAATACCTTTATCCAGCAGAAAACTACACAGCAGATAAAACTGCAACTATTATTTGACTATAAAATTCCTGTTCACAAATGTGTCTATGTAAACTGGCAAACCTTCTTTTCATTTATAAAAAAAAACAAAACAAACAAAAAACATACGTATTTAGAGAGAGAAGTCACCTAGAAGAGTCTTGGGGTTTGTGAGACCAAGCTGTACAACGGGGTTCTCCAGGATAGCCTGAAACAGTGGACTGTTGGTATCGATGCCTTTGTCCAGATCCTCAGGACTGGGCTTTCTGTCACCGAGCAGCCATTCGCACTGTGTGGGAAAATAGATTTAACATTAAAACAAGTCACACTTTAATAAGAATCATAACTAGTTAGAAATTTGAGGCATCTTAATTAGCAGAAGAAATGACACAATATACTTGATACAATTCTTTAAGTGTTTACATACAGCTGCATCCTGTTGATTATTATTGACGCGGAGAGCATCGATCACTTCCTTCTCATCGAAGCCCATCTCCATTAGTGCAATCACTGCCTGCTTACACACAAACGACACAACGCATCTCATTCAAAATGGCTTGGGCATATATTAGTGCTACAGCAATGTTTGAGTTTAAAACTCAACTGTTCTTCTTGTGTTTCTCATGACTCTCACATGACACTAACCCGTGAGTCTGGTCTGAACTCTCTTTTTCTTCTGATCCTTTTAAAGATCTCTGTCAGTTCATCCTGTTTGGCCTCGTCTATGCTGGCCTGGGAGATCAAACGAGCACGGGCTGCTAAAGCTGTGGCAGAGGCTCCTGGAGCAGGCGCTGCAGCGGCGGCTGCCCCTGGACTCTCCTGTCCTGGTAGAGGCGCATCAACCATGGGGTCATCAACATGCTCAATCAGCCATTCCATAGCCTGGGTCACAGACATGCTGCAAACAGAGTGCTTTGTTATTAGTGGCTTTTATTTAACCCAACGAGAGCTGAGATTTTTTACAGTTCATAACCCACAAAACCATCTTTTTTGTTCATTTATCTGTTGTTATCTAGATTGTGGTTCTCAACCTTTTTCACTTCGAGGCCCACCTTTTTCTCTGAAAAATTTTTGAAGACCCAAACTGATTGTCTAGAGCAGGGGTGACCAAACTCTGTCCTGGAGGGCCGGTGTCCTGCAGATTTTAGCTCAAACTTGCCTTGACACACCTGCAAGGATGTTTTTAGAGTAGAAAGCCTAGTAAGAGCTTGATAAGCTAGCCCAGGTGTGTCTGATTGGGGTTGGAACTAAACTTTGCAGCACACCGGCCCTCCAGGACCATGTTTGGACATGCCTGGTCTAGAGAAAATGCTTATTTTAAAGCTTTATTTATTAGCAAAACATTTATTTTGCCCTCTATTACTCCCTAGTTTTTCAACATTTTTTTATGTATATATGTATATATATAAAGTTATATATATATATATATATATATAAGAATATATATATATATATATATATATATATATATATATATATATATATATATAAAACTTTAAAAACACACAGACAGGTTCAAAGCTCCTGAATTCTTTCCTTCAGTTATTCTTTAAAGCTGCAGAGTATTTGGGCCTTTTCTTCATCTATTGATTTATATCCACTTAACCCCAACCCTAAATGTAAAATAAAGAAACAACCATCTAAATATGTTGAAAAAAATCGATCTGATGGTGGTTTAGTTTGTAGCTGGACATTATTAGAGTTCGCTGACAGGAAAGGTGAACGGCTGTTCATAAATGAAACACCACAGATTGTTGCTAGATCCTCCTGTACGGACTCACTTTAGTTATAAAACGCTCGCAAGATGTTAATTTGGACAACTATGAGGATGTTTTAAAGTGTTCACACAAAGAAAAAATACATAGTTTGTGAATCAGGAGACTTGTGTGACTCTGATACAGTATGAGTTGCAGACGTGAGGCAAGCGTGAGCTGCTTATTATAAAACAACATTACCTTTACATTTGCATAACTGTTTGCTTTATACAACTGAGAACATAGTCCCATTTGACGCGCAGCGGTTGGAAATTTAAGCCACAGTTTTTTCACAGTGAGGCTGTTTTTGCACAGTCCAAATTAGTCTGCTCAATCACAGAAAACAGGAAATGCCATTACTATTTTATTTTTAATATGACGTTTAATAATGACATCAAATAATTATAGTACAATATTAAAGGTAATTTTAAGCCATCTCACAGTCCACCTGCAGGATCGCTGAGGCCCACTGATTGAAAATCTTTGATCTATATAATAATTTAGCATGTTTTCATATCATGCCTTAACGCAGCATTTCTCAATCCCCGTTCTTACGCCCTCCTCCTCTACATATTTTGCATGTCTCTCCTATTTAACAAAGCTGATTTAGATTAGCGTTATACCGCGGTCACACTTGAGTTTAAGCATGTGAATTTTGTAGTACAGCGCTGCGAAAAGCTGCGAGATTAAACAAGATGATTAGACATTTAGAAAAGCGAGAGATTTGTTCATATTTTACATATCTGTCCAGAGAGGTCATGTTTTGATCTTTGATTGGTCTTGCACAGTCACGTGATGCAATTTCCCAGGTTAGAGTTAACCAAGCTTAAACTTTGCAATGCAGCAAACTACGAAACTAGTTGCACGAACTTGCATTTTCAGTCTGACACATTCGCATCGTATGAATGGAAATCTATGGGGCCTGCAACACTGCATACTTTGGATGTCTCCTTTGTCTGTCACACCCATTACAAATCTTTCAGTCTCTGCTAATGAGCTGATGATGTGAAACTGGTGTGTTTGGTTAAGAAGACAAGAAAAACAAGCTAATAGTCCTACAGAATTGTGGGTGAGAAACACTGGCTGTTTCTCAATATGCGTTGTTCACCTATCTTGCATCCTTGTGTTCTTGTGTAACGTCATCATCAACCGCAAAAGTTCAGTTACAAAACCCAAGACCGCAAGAACAGAGGACACGCGAAAGTTCCTGAATGTGTTCTTGATATCGAGGATGCGTTTTGTGCATGTTATATATATTCAAAAGGGGGAAAACAAGAAATCGTTGTATGAATTCCGTAGGTGATGCAGTGGCGCAGGTAATGCTGTCGCGTCACAGGAAGAAGGTTGCTGGTTCGAGCCTGGGCTGGGTCAGTTGGCATTTCTGTGTGGAGTTTGCATGTTCCCCCACAGTCCAAAGACATGCACTATAGGTGAATCAGGTAAGCTAAATTATCCATATTTTATGTGTGTGAAAGAGAGTGTATGAGATTCCATGATGGGTTGCAGCTGGAAGGGCATTCGCTGCATGAAACATGTGCTGGATAAGTTAGAGGTTCATTCCACTGTGTCGACCCCAGATTAATAAAGGGACTAAGCTGAAATGAAAATGAATGAATGAACGAATGCTGTAATGTTTTATTAATTTCCAGTTGCGTGAATGCGTGAAGGTCATGTGACCATCAAAAAGAATGCAGCATTTCATTTCTCAGAGGTAGCGTTCTCTGTTCTCATGGTCTCAGAAAGTTCATTCAACCGAGGTAACTTGGCAAGAACGGTCTCCACAAGAACACGAGTCCGTTCTCTGCATTCTTGGAATTGAGAAACAGCCAAGGAAAATGAGCTGGTGGTCCTCCAGGAACGCGGTTAAGAAACACTGATTTAGATGACCATCTCCATGCATGAACTGTGTTCTCACTGATATGTCCCTACGCAGTGTGCATTTCCTAGACCCTTCCTTATTGCTCACTACCTGCGCATGAGAAAATCTTATTTCACTTCAGAACGTTCATTCATGTATTTGTGGCATTGCCTTCAGCGTCTTACAAGTAAATTGTGAAGCATGAGCTTAATGAGAGCAAGCGCAGAGAAAAAGTGAAATGTGTAGCAGGGGGAGCACCTATTAAAGGACTGGGATTGAGAAATGCTGCCTTAAAAGGTACACGAAACACCCCAATATACAGTCCTAAAAGCATATAGTATATACAGTATGAGCATATCAATTCTACATCAAATGTCTACCAATGTGTCTCTAAAGTTTGCTTCAGCAAGGTGCTTTGAACCCTTGAAATTAAATCTTAAAAAAAAAAAAGCATTTTTTTCTTTCGCTTTCCTGACTTATGACAGAGGTAATGTAGTTTTTTTTACTTACTTGCCAGAAAATCACTAGTTCAGTTGTAACTGCAGATGTTTCTTAGGCCCTGTTCGCACCTCTTATTAACATGCATTTTACAATAATAAATAACTTGGTTCCTTCAAAGCAACATTCAGGAATGCAAGATTAAGCCTTGAAACCTTTGGATGATGTACGTGTTGGATGTTTTGTAATCAATTCCTAATTATTTGCATAATGTTTTTAATTCACCAAGTGAAATTAGCTTCCTCTGTAAAACAGAGTAAAGTGTCTAGGCAGGAGTCAATCATACATACAAGAAATCCATTATGATGCATGTGTGATCAGTCTTCCGTGTGATCTTTTGCATAATACTTTTATTCAAGGATACCTAAATAAATTACCTTTTATGTTCTAAAATATATATTTTTTTAATATTCTATCAAAGCAACAGCATATTTACATATTAAAACTGTAAAACAGAATAAAGAGTTTAGGCATATTAACTGCAAATAAAATTTGTTTAATTCATAAAGCTGCCTATTTTATTAAAAAAATTATATTTTTCTTAATTGTGTTTTTAATAAAGTTTTTATAAACATAGTATACACATAACATTTACTTAGAAAACTTACATTCACAAAAAATAAACAAATAGATAAAAAAAATATCATACATAAATAATATTAACAAATAAATAGTGTCAGCTTAGAAAAAAAAGATAATACATTAAAATAAAATAAATAGTAAATAAATAAATAAATTGCAAATAAAGAATAATCATTGTTCTAGTACTATTAATAAGATTTGTATTTTTTTATAACTTGTGCTAGTTTTCACAGTACTAAAGATCAGTGACATCCAATACCCAAAACTGGACAAAAAAAACGCCATGTGTAAACAGTAATGTGTTTCCTTTTCCCACTTGAGATCGGATTGACAAAAATGCCAGGTGTGAACAAGGCCTTACTGAGCTTTCATACATTTAATGCACACACTCTCTGAAGAAGAAAGCCAGTGTGAAAGCACCCTTGCAGATGTTTACTTCTAAATACTGAAGTGCATGAGATGGGGTGCGAGAACTCACTGAGAGTACTTACTGGTTTAAGCGCAGAGCCTTCACAGCACGACTCTCAGGGAAACCCATCTCAGTCAACTGCTGCAGGGCCGTTTCATCCACGCGGTCCTCCTCATCCTCATCTAACATGGCTGCCAGAGAAGGGATATAAAAATAATATTTAGGACTAATCACATACAAAACAAAAATTAACATTTACAAAATAATTTAAAGTGTACTGTGTATACCGATTGTATAAATAGAAATACAAACACATCAATATATGTATATGTGTATAAACATGTATAGAAAAAATGTTTCAATAATATATATATATATATATACTGTATATCATAAATCATATACAGTTGAAGTAAGAATTATTAGCCCCGCTGAATTATTAGCCCCCTATTTATTATTTCCCCAATTTCTGTTTAACAGAGAGAAGATTTTTTTCAACACATTTCTAAACATAATAGTTTTAAAAACTTATCTTTAATAACTGATTTATCTTTGCCATGATGACAGTAAATAATATTTTACTAGATATTTTTCAAGACAATTATATACAGCTTAAGGTGACATTTAAAGACTTAATTAGGTTAAGGTAATGAGGCAAGTTATTGTATAACGATGGTTTGTTCTGTAGACTATCGAAACAAAATATAACTTAAAGGGGTTAATAATTTTAACCTTAAAATGGATTTTTTTAAAACTAAAAACTGCTTTTATTCTGGCCGAAATAAAACAAAGAAGACTTTCTCCACAAGAAAAAATATTATCAGACATACTGTGAAAATATTCTTAATCTGTTAAATGTCATTTGGGAAATAAAAAAATAAATAAAAAAAATCAAAGGGGAGCTAATTATTCTGACTTTAACTGTATATTAATAAAGATGTAAATTAACTATTTAAAAAAATGTGTGCAAATTCATATATATATATATATATATATATATATATATATATACATATATAATACATAAATATAACATGCACATATGTAAATATAAACTTGTATTTTCTACACAATTAGTCACGATTAATCATTAAACAGAACTACTTCACTCTCATATGATTTGCAAAGAGTGCACCAAATATTAAAAATGTATTTAATCTATTAATCCAAGTGTCCATCCATACATCTATCTCTTACCATTGGCCTTTTTAAAAAGCTCTACAGCATCAGGATTCAGAGCCAGCAGCTTCTGAGCGACCTCGATAAGCGAAACTAGAATCTTTCTCAGCTCTGTCTGAAACTGACAGAAACCAAAAAAAAATGTCAAATGCAAAAAAGAATAAACTTTTAAGAGTAAACTGAACTGAACAGACTCACATCTCTGATGTTGTGCTGTGTTACTGTACGGTCAGTGTTACGAGTGGACAGGCTTGCTGTGGCTTTGAGGATGGCATCCTTATCTGGAGCTTTGTTGTCTTGCTTCTTCTTTCAGCAAGAACAAACAGGGTTCAATTTTGCAGAATCATATACCTTACACATTTAACACACACTATGTTTTAAAGGGAAAGTTCACCAAAAAATCAAAAATACCTGTCATTTTACTAACCCTCAGGGATAAAAGGTGACTTTTCTCTTCAGCAGAATATTAGGATCAGTTCCTCCATAAATGAAATTCTGTTCTGAATTACTCACCCTCATGACATTCAGTCTTCACCTTCAGAACACACATTAAAAAACTTTGGATGAAATCCAAAAGCTTCTACATCCTCCATTGATAGCAACAGTCCACAGACGTTCAATGTCCAGAAATGGAACAAAAAACAGTGCAAAATTTCAGTGGTTCAACTGTAATCATATAAATCTTCATGAACACAAACACTTTTCTGCAGCAAAAAAAAAAAAAAAGGTAAATAAGACTTCACCAGATCAGGGGGTGCAGATTTTATGTGAAGTATGACTATTTGCTATTAAAATAAGCAGCGCAACAGGCCAGCACATCCACCCTGACCTTAGGCAGAAGACATACATGGCCAACGTCATTTTTACAGTTTTTAGCCAGACAAAGGTGGAAATAAAGTTTTGTGTGATTATATTTGAACCACTGAAGTGACTGGGTATGTTTGACATTCCTTTCTTGACTTCAAAAGTCTCATGATCATTGCTGTTTATGGAGGATGAGGGAGCTCTCGAATTTCATCTAAATTGTCGTAACTCGTTTTCAGAGATGAATGAAGGTCTCAGGAATTGGAATGACATGAGGGTGGGTGAGTAATAATAACAAAACTTTTATTTTTGAGCCAACTGATCCTTGTGAAATCATTGTGAACAGTTTAACTCAAGCTAGTGGTTACCATCACTTTGAGAGGCAAATGAACATACACAAGCAAAAATAATTAACATCTGTGCCTCCTGACAATATATTGATGTCTGAAAATGCAAAACAATTAGTTTGTGTAAGAAACTGATCACTATTTACCACATTTTATCCACTGCCTCAGCTAAAGGGTCTGACTGTGTTCAAGACAGTCTGTGGCAGGGGTCACCAAACTTATTCCTAGAGGGCTGGTGTGCTGCAGAGTTGATCTCCGACGCTAATCAAACACGCATGAACAAGCTAATCAAGGTCTTACAGGGTATACTTCCATAGAAGCAAGTTTAAGCTGAACTCTGCAGGACACCGACCCTCTCGGACCAAGCTTGGTGACCCCTGCTCTAGGGTTTGAGATTCAAGTCACATAATGGTGGATGCAGCTATGCAGGAGTCAGAGATCACTCATGAGCAGATAATGTTTGTTTACAATGGTGAGAAAGGGCATGTGTCCTTCAAAATAGTACATAGTTGATGTTATTTTGAATGCTGCTATATAAAAAGCTGTAAACAAACAACATCAGCGGACTGAATGTTTTGCTGTCATGAACTCACCAAGAACTGTTTGCTAATAATTTTGTAAACGAGATTTAGTTTCCGCCCAACAGATGATTTTACAAGGCGTCAATGTATCATCAGCAGCCACTGGTGTTCATTTTGTTTTACTTTTAAAAATCTTTTATAGACTCTCAAAGTGCTGGTAATCATTGACTTAAAATTAATAAAATTTTTAGGATTCTGCAGGGAAAAAAAAGTATGACGGTCTGAGCTTAAGTAGTGCAAATTTAAAATTTGGGTGAACTATTTCTAAATTAAAACTGTCAGCAGATACCTTCTCTTCAGAAGATATGTCGGTCATTTTTGGTGGAGCTGGTGGAGGTCTTTTCTTTAACAGTATTAAACAATCTAAAACACAAACAAACATGAATCAGGGTTTGTGTCTGTTTGTATACAACATTAAATATAAAGAACATACAAAAACATGACGCTACTGCTTCATAGGTGGTTCTAAACCATAAATCTGAAAGAATTAGAAAGCTATAATAAAATTAATTATTTAAAATTGCAATAAAACTTACTGGGCTTTTTTATTAAACTGTTATGCAAATTGTCAATAAACCTTTTTATGATCTTATTCTTACTCTTCAGTTGGTAAATCACACAAACGAACAACAAGGGCCTTGAAGTATACAAGGCTAGGAGCCTGAGGACCAGTCTAACCCAAAGTTGTACCTTTATCTTTAAGATTTTCCTCAGAGACTGTTTTGGATTCAGTGAGAATTCTCTCAGTGGCAGCATGAATGAGTTTGTGATGTGTAAGGGTTTTAGGATCCTCTAGACTTCCATGGACATACTGGAAGAGAAGAGAAGAAAGACACAAACAGATATTAAACATTTTTAAAGACATACCAAAGTCTTCCAAATGGATAAATTGCATAAAAATGCAAATAATTTTCATTTTAGTTCTGGCAAAAATAGTAATAAAAAATAATAAATTGGATTTTAAAAAAATAAATAAATGAATTGAATTACTTTGTGAAGTCTGGTGTGAGTAATTAGTTTTTTAAACGATTTATCAAGTAAGATCTTGATTCAGCCTTGCTGTCACGTGAATAGATTACATTTTAAAACATTGTAATAATTTTATAGTATCTATGATTACTCTACACATTACCTTATAAATGCAGCCTTTGTGAGCATATGAGAATATATCTATTTTTAAAATCTTGCCAACCCCTTGACGTTTGAATAGTAGTGTATGTTAGCTTTATAAAAAATCCTATCATAAGTCTACCCCCCCCCCACCCCCCCCCCAAAAAAAAACAGGCAATCCTGCCAACCACCTTTATAGGGGATCTAGTAATCTGGTAGAACCATGATGCATTTGGTGTCTTTTTGTTACCATGGTCCTTTGCCATACAGTGTATGGTACTAAATAATACATGGATCCTGCTTTTTACATGACACCCCAATAGCCATCAAAGAACACCGTGATGTAGCACAGTGTATGTTCATGAAACTTGTCAATGCATTGTCATTATTACATACAGAGCCATGGTATTTTTCAGCCACATTACACACTGAAGATACAGTAGAACCAGACTTGACTTAGTATCTGCTAAAGTGCTTACAACCTCATCCACACCCATTAAAACCACAAATGCTGATGAAATCTTCATTGTTTACATGAATGGGTGACAACGTGCATGGAGCAACACGATTGCGTGTTGCTAACAGAGATATTACAACAAAACGAGCTTGTCAACAAGTTAATGTCAGCTGTACACTGTAAGTCAAGCAGTGTGACAGTGGTAGTTACTGTACTGCCTCAGAGACGGAGGTGACGGGCAAGCTTGCTAAATTATAAATAGCACTGTCGACTCGTCTGCTAGTTACTAAAAATACTTGGCAATGGCACTGAAAATCCAGCGGGCCTGTCCTGCCCGGGTTGGCTAACAGTGCCAGCTAACCGATGGCAGACCTACATGCTTTAAGCATTTCTCCTTGAGTTTCTCTATTGTGGTGTCTTCCGTGACTTCCTCCAACCACTCGGATCCCTCCATTGTACAGACGTGGACCTTCAGGACTTTGCCTGCGAAGATCTTCTCCTCCTGTACGAACATTTTAGCGGCAGCTGTAGCGGTGGCGGCGGCAGCAGGACCGCAGCGCTCCCCGCTGAAGACGCTCCGCGAGCCCGCTGTCTACAGCCCGGAAAGCCGCCCTCTTCCTCGCTTAAACCTGCCCTGGCAACAGACGCGAGCTCACGGTCTCATTCGAGCATTGTCAGGCCGTCCGTTCTGTAGTGCCGGCGACTCCGGAGGACTGATGTTTTTGTCGACGGGACAGATAGGTTTCCTGACTCGCCGCTGCAGGGACGCTTGCTCCGTTGACACCTGCGATCGACAGACAGCGGTCGGTACTGTGCTGTCATGCGCATGCGTCAGATCCTAAACATGATTGGTGAATGTGCGCATACACGCAGACGCGTCGTGGTCGTGCTGCAGACTATCAAAACACTAGTTGGGAGCGGCGAGACCTGATCCTGGATTTTTCCGATTAACCGTTTTACAATGTTAAAGGAAAGCTTACTACTTTTAAAAGATACTACCAGCGACAATACTAATTAAAACACATTTCACTTAGAGACTCTAGCTATTTATTATAAGCTGTTGCTTATTTATTCAGTCCTGTTCTTATTATAAACAGCCTACTAGTTCCTATTTGTAGGATACATAATAAATACATTAAGTACAATTAAGTACTAGTTTCAGTAGTAAACAGCACTATTATATTGTTATAGTAACAGATTGCACATTTTTGACACTGACTTTAAATAAGCATCTGTTATTAAGAAATGAATTTTTCTGTTTTGCCATAAAGGTAAAGTTGGTTTTATATTTGCACATTCGTTCATTTAGCCGTCTCTATATTGTTTACCATGGTACTTTGAATATTCAATCGGAATTAGCATGCAAGTATGACTTCTAAACAACATTACCACTATCTAATTTACTGTGAACAATGCTGCACTTTGATAGTCATTTGCTGATATATATATATATATATATATATATATATATATATATATATATAGTTAATTATTTATTTATTTTTAAAACTCATATTTCCATTTATATTTGTACAGTACATAAAGATTGAAGAAAAATACTTACAGTAATTCACCCAACTGTATTTTTTTAATTTAAAGTGTGCAGCACATCCACAGAAGTCAAACTGGCTTACTACAAGTGAGATTTATTCATATTTCTATTCATATAAATATACAGTGTGCAAATATTTTAGAAAAATATTTACAGTAATTCTCTCAAACTTTAATTTTATGATTTTAAAGGGTGTAGTATATTCGCTTAGGCCAGACTGACTTACTACAAGTGAGATTTTTCCCATAGATTAATTCATATTTGTACAGTACACAAATATTTTTGAAAAACAGTAATTGAGTCTAAGCTGTAGGTATTTATGTAGTTCAGACACCACACTTCTCCAGAATCTTTCCCCCTAACAGACCCGCTTTTACTTCGAAAGATCGCCTGCAATAATTAATTTCATCTGAATTCATATTATATAAAGATATCAATAGGCCATATTAAGATTATTTGAAGGGCCTTGAATTTATTTAACCAACACAGAGCTTGGGAAAGTCTTGTAGATGATATTATAAACTTTGGCTGAAAATGTTAGGGAACTAAAAATATTTGAAAATTATGTTCTTTTTAAATTGATGCCCAAATAACTAATGTTCTCCTCTGCTGGAGAGATTATAAGGGCTCAGCGCAGTCAGTGTTTAGCTCTCTGAGCATTTTGATCATTTAAAGGGTTTTAAATGATCAGTTTATTAAGATTTTTTTAAATGTATGTCCCACTAAATTAAGATGCTGCTGCTGTGACTAATTTAGGCTGCATTTACACTGCAGGTCTTGATGGTCAATTCTAATTTTTATTTCAGAGATTTGAGCTTTTCAGTCATAAACGTCTCTTCACATCAGCATTTTAAAGCTTGTTTAACAGCCCTGTGCTTGTTTTATGGTGTTGCAATTCTATTAAACATGTGCTGTAATAAAATAAATTAATCATAGTTTTTGATGCAGTTTTGTCCTCTTCGTTTACAAAAATCTGGATATTTTTGTAAACGAATATGTTTATGCCAGAATAGTTGCCAGTTCAGGCATCGCGGTGGCACAGAAGGTAGTGCTGTCGCCTCACAGTCAGTTGGCGTTTCTGTGTGGAGTTTGCATGTTCTCCCTGCCTTCGCGTGGGTTTCCTAAGGGTGCTCCGGTTTCCCCCACAGTCCAAAGACATGCGGTACAGGTGAATTGAGTAGGCTAAATTGTCCGTAGTGTATGAGTGTGTATGGATGTTTCCCAGAGTTATTTTTGTTAAAGTGTGTTAATGGAAAAAAAAAAATTTACAGTTCTTGCCACAGTCATCTGTAGCTGCTCACGGTGATTATCAAACTATCAAAATGTTACACACTATGATCATTTTTAAATCTCATTACACTGTAAAGCATTATTAGTAGACTTTAAAGTGAGTAAATCTAAAGCTATTACTTGACTTTACTTTAAAAATCTGTAAATCTGTTGATTTATTTTTACAATGATCATTGACTTGAGAAAGGGTAAAATGAAACATTTAAAAAAAAAATTCTATCTTTCTATTTCAAAGATGGGTTAAATTATGCAACATTATCAGTAGTGTAAAGTAACTAATTACAAATACTCAAATTACTGTAATTATTACAGTTTTTCACAGATATTGTAATTTACTAAATAGTTTTATAAATGTGTACTTTTACTCTTCCTTGAGTACATTTTTAGTGCAGTAATTAGTACTTTAACTCCACTACTTTCCTTCAACCTGCAGTCACTACTTTACTTTTTATAGTCTATAGAGATTAGAAATATCAGTCCTGTGATTCCTCCCCAATCAAATCACACACAGAAGGTAAATCGTCACATAATGAACCACCTCAAGACATGGGCGATTTATAAATGCAGCAAACTGTTTGAAAGCATTAAAACGTCAAAATCGTTACAAGTATTAACCCAGAGACTGATCAGATGCATGTCACTGATGAGAAGATGATGGGTGTTTACTGTATGATGACCAAAATGGCCTTAAACACTCAGCAGGCACAAGACATCAACATGATGTTAGAATGACGTTGTACCCCAGTGTCGTGGAGACGTTGCATTTTGTTTGGAAATGAAAATCATGTTAACGTCAGAACTTAAGGTCAGGCCAGCTTCCAACCTAAAACCAATCGAATATCAGTGTCCAATGATGTTACGACTTGACGTTGTGTGGACGTTACCACCATGACGTCTATTAGACATTGGATTTTGGTTGCCACACCTGATGAATAATTGTCAGTATTTGATGTCAATATGACATTGGTTGAAGATGTTGGCTCTACCTTGGATTTTGGTCACTTTCCAACACAACCTAAAGTCAACTAAATATGAAAGTCATTTGACATTATTATTGGACATCAAAATAAACTTGTCCTTAGATGCTGGCTAGACATTGAATTGTGGTCACCTGACATAACCTAAATCTAACCTAATGTTAATGTCTTATGATGTTGTGTGCCTGCTGAGCAATAACTAATTGCACTACAGAATGTTACGTTTACACACACATGCACAAATTACATGTAAATGCATCAGCTTTTACAGCGTAATACTTACTACTCTTGAGTACTTTAGAAAGCTCTACTTTTGACTCATACTTTGAGTAAATTTTATAACAAATACCATTACTCTACTTACACTACATTTTTAGGCAAGTAAGGGTACTTTTACTTGAGTATGATTTTTCAGTACTCTTTCCACCTCTAAACATTAATAATATGTACACACCAAACCAACTGTCAAACTGACTCTGTACCAGTGAATGAAATTGTGAGCAACACCCTTAAATATTAATCTAATTTAATAATTAGAGATAATATGCATGTAGCAAACGGTCAACTAAAGTTCTAAAGACATGATCCATGATAAATAAAACCTTGAATTTTCAAACTGACCATGAATTATAGTATCTTCATCTTTTTCAGTTGGCTCATTTCTACTGCCGGTGATGCCTTTTTAGCTGGAGCCTCCACTTCTAAAAGAATAAATATTTCAACAAACCATTGTTAGCATTACATCCTACAGTACATATTAGCGGGCTAAACTTTATTTCCTTTTTTTTCTTAATAATCATTCATGCATTCATTTTCTTTTCGGCTTAGTCCCTTTATTAATCCGGGGTCACCACAGTGGAATGAACCACTAATTTATCCAGCACATGTTTTACGCAGCGGATGCCCTTCCAGCTGCAACCCATCTCTGGGTAACATTCACACTCACTTATTCACACACATACACTACGGACAATTTAGCCAACCTATTTCACCTTTACCGCATGTCTTTGGACTGTGGGGGAAACCGGAGCACCCAGAGGAAACCCATGCGAACGCAGGGAGAACATACAAACTCCATACAGAAACGCCAACTGACCTAGCTGAGGCTCGAACCAGCGACCTTCTTGCTGTGAGGCGACAGCACTACCTACTGCGCCACCATGTCACTCCTAAATTTTCAATTAATTTTAAATAAACGCAACTATATAAACTGAACAAGACTCAGGTTGTGTAATAACCTAAATCATGTATGTTTACATAGCCACATTTGCTATATTAAAGGAAACAAAATGAGCTGAAGAAATTGTCAGAATCCTCTTCCAGGACTAGGGTTATAAAGCAGAGGATTAGATGATAATTTAAATGTATGTACTCTTTTGTTTTTACCTCCAATATGTGGGTTCTTCCTTCACAACATTTCACATAAACCATGAAAAAAAAAACAGGGAGCACTAAAGTGGATAAATTATTTTTTTCAATGTCAATGTCCGATTTAAATGACAGCTCATGTACTGCTAAGGTGCAAAAGCAAACTGAACATCACAACTAGGCATGGGCCTAGGTAGGTAGGTAGGTAGGTAGGTTACTTTATTTATACCCGAAGGTAGATTTGGTTTGCAGTCAAGAGTCCTCATCTCACAACAGTGCCACACAAAGGAACTCACAAAGTAACAACAACAACAAATGCACATTAAGACATAAAACGTAAACATAAAGAATAAATAAATAATCCTGTATAAGATTCTGACGGTGTGATAACTTTGGATAAAAATTTCATGGTCTCATGGTATTGTGGTCACTGCTCTAAAACATATTCTTTTTTAATGTCTGGGTAAAAAAAAATTTAAAAAAATTATCCTTTGAACACAATATATTTTATTTTTTGAAAGATTTATAATATTTGAGCTGTGAACATGTCAGGCTGTAACGAACCAGACAGAGTACCAGAGGTGCGAGCAAAATAAGGACAGTTTATTAGGCACAAAAGTTCAACACA